AATGATTTCTGAACAACTTGGAAAAAGATGTGGAACATCCCAGTTATAAGAAAGTGTCCGGGCAACGTTAAGCTGGTATAGGAAAAAGGTATTTATGAAAAAGTTCCAGTTCTCTCTCTGAGCCTTATTCTCCGTCTGGGTAGGTGACCCTCTCCCTGCACCTCTGTGCCACCTCCTTCTCCATCGTCCCCAGAGCATTCATCTCGGTGTGCTCTGTGTGCCTGGGGTTGATCACAGAGGCCTCCCAGTCCACGGCAAAGCAACAGGAATTCTGGGGGTGCAGGGAGCTGGAAGAGGCCAGTGCAGTCATAGGCCCTGAGCCCCACTCATGGTTCATTTTCTTTCTATTATTATCTTAGAGCCCTGCGGAGGGCTGTCTCCCCTACTTTGACTTAAACAACTTCACACTTGCAGGTTTATGAAAGCCCTGGTTTATGATTGCTTTGAGCCAGAAAATCCCCTAGTGGGGCTACTGTTAGTGAGATTCTCTTAAAAGAGCCTGTTGATGAAGATCTGGCACTCCTTCATCGATCATTTGTAAGGTAATGATAAAAAGAACTGAGCAAAATCAACAATAACATGATGGAGTGTGTGAGGACTGAAGGTAAGCCACACCACACACACACACACACACATACACACACACACGTGAAACATGAATCATTCCTGTTTGGAGGACATATGTTCACCACACAGAACTACCAGGCGACAGAGGATCACAGCATTAGCCATGTGGGCTCTCCACTCTCAGGCTTCATGCATGCGACTTCCCACTCCCCCGTGACCTTGGGCCAAGTCACACAACTCCACTCACCTTCACTCTCTTCCTCTGTAAAAGAGGCCACACTCTGATGTGGGGACTGGGTGGCAAACGCAATATAATCATTAAGGCCTTGAGGAAGAAGTCATGGCAGACATTTAGTGGCCTCTGCCAGTTCTAAAATTCTTTAGGATTCTTTCTTTGTGCTGAGTTGAATGCGTAGTGGGGAAAAATATTCAGATTTGAATTTTTTTAAGCCAAGCAATTCTGCACAGTTTTTAAAATCATTACAAGTTTACAACTTCCACTGTTATTTTTTGAATAGATTGTTAAGCCAGTTAATCTATATTTGGAACTCTGGAACTGTAAGGTGGTAGGCATCTCTGTAATACCCTATGTCAATCATCAGTCCTTGTGATATTTTTGTCATGTTTTTCTTCTTCAGTAAAGGGCAGGTTTTACATCCACAGCTGCCTACTAACAAAAGAGACCTGGGGGCTTCTTGGATGTTACAAATTTGGTATGTCTTCCCTAACATGCTGACATCAGAGAGAAAGTGTCATCCAGAGTGTGAGTCATGAAAGTCAGCTGGCAGAAGACAGCTTAGCAAACTGTCACTGGAGCCCTTGGCTGCAAGTCAAGGGCTCTGACACCTGACATCAGCTGCGGCGTTATCTGAGAGAGAGTCGGAGAGAGCTTGACTGGGAGCCAATTGCCAAGCTCCTTGGAATTCACAGGCTCTCTGGGATTTGGCACAAAGAACCTGAGTAAATAGTGATGATGATGATAATGATAATGGCAGCTAACACTTGTCATGTGCTTAGTGGGTGCCAAACACCAATACCAGGGCTCTATCTGACAAGGCAGTTACTAACTGCATCAACCCCATTTTGCAGGTGAGGAAACTGAGGCAGTGAATAGATCACATGGCCAGTAAAAAGGAGAGCTCAGATTTGAATGCACATAGAATCTGAACTCTTAGCTATTACCCAAATTGCTTACTAGGAAGTTACTTGGGAATTAAAGAAATAATTATAAGACATCTTCCTATGCTCTTAAAGAGTCCAAAAATAAGTGCAAGGACTTGTTGCTGCATTTATGATTTGTTTATGTACTAACTGTTTTTTACTCCATACAAATATTTTAAATTAACTTTCTGGTCATTTCAAATAAAGAACAATTGTTTGAATAGAGAATAATTAGACAAGGAGAAATACTGCAAGTCAGGAGACTCAGGTGCTAGTGCACTAGTCTTGGCTCTGCCATGAAATTACCACATGAATTTGCTGGAGGCCTCAGTTTCCCATGTCTGTTACAGGGCTCCTTTCTTTAACTGCAGCAGTTCGGTGTGTGTGAAGTGTCATTCTGTGAACTTAAGAGGCACTTCCTGTCGAGAGCAGATGTCTGGGGCAGATTGCCAAGGGGCTAGTTTCTCCATCCTGGCTTTGTAGCTCCTCCCTCCGTCCTTGGCTACGCACCAGTCTAAGATGTCACAGAGACATGCTTGAGTTGGCCAGCACCCAGCATGATATTTACAGAGAAGAAAAGAAAAGCTTAGGATGGTCGAGTTTTCTTAGGCAATACTAACAAAAGCATGCTCTGCCCCTTCTCACTTCCCCTGAAAGCACTTCTCACATTTGCAGAGAGAATGACAAGATGAACCCATCTGCGTGTCGTACTTCCGATGTGAGGTGTGGGCTGGTAGCTCACCACAAAATCACAATTTCAGAGGACCCAGTGAGAGTCCAGTGCCAAGTCTTGCTCTTAAGCAGCAAGATGCCTGCTGACCATGGTCTGTATATTTTAGAGTCCCCAAAGCTACAGTGATATTCCTATTTTAATACATGCAGCAACAGAAATAAGTGGTAGGCTCCCATTCATCCTATCTGTGCACTGACCCCATTGTTTGGGAAAAATAAGATGTGATTACTTCAAAAGTCACATAGTAGTGTCAATACTAATAATAAAAAAAGAAGTGTAATCACTTTTGTCTTTTTCATTCTACCATGCAAACTCATGGAAACTATACAAAGAGTAATAAATTATTTTGTAACTCTCCACCCAAAAATGTGTGGTTTGCTGCGCCAAATTATCTATTGATTTGCATGTTCAGAATTATGTGTTAAGGGCCTACCAGGCAGAGGGAACTTAAAGGGACAAATTCTCAATCTCTGTTGTAAGATTTAAAATAAATTTTGGGGGACCTATGAACTTCTGCAATCCCATTGATTAAATACCCAAGAATTAGTCACCTTAGTAACAATTGAGGTGTGTGTTAAATGTTAAACATGTATTCAACAGCATTGAAATCTTACTTGTTAGTTGTTCCTCTAAGAATTTCAGCTCCCGCCTCTATCCCCCTCCACCCTGTTGCAGTGCAACTATGCCTTGAAATAGCATTCTTTAAGAGGCGGCTTTATGGCTCTGGAGGCACACGTGGATTTCACAGCCAGCTTTGCCACTGCTGTGGAAAACAGAGTGCACATGTAAGCCAGCTGAAGTCATAGGAACTGCAGTGATTAGGGCTGCGGGGGCCTCCACTGTGGCTGTCAGCCTGCAATTGGAAACAGCTTTTCCAAAGTACAGCAGGAGAAAGCAGGACTTCCTGTCCACAGCTCCCTGGCCCACTGGGTTTTTAGTTAGGCCTGGTATCACCCATTAGAGATCAGACAAATGAAAATCATAAGGAAACCAAACAAGAGCATCTTCTGGTTTCCAAGTTTTGTTCAGCCTGGCTCCCTCCCAGGCCTGTGATTCCTGTCATTGACAGTTAATAAGGGGACAGGAGCTCTAGGAAGGCTTGACCCCAGTAAGGCAGGTTCAGTGCAGTGTCCTTCCTTTCCTCCAACCCCTGATGTGCAATTGTCTAAACACTCAAATTCTTAGGCTTATCTCAGTTACTTCAACTTTATCAGTCACTCAGAGATAAAGTAACATTGGCAGAGATCATAGGAAAGCTATTTAGAATATTAATAAACGAGAATCAGTCAATGAAAATTTTTCTTGGCACTCCAACCCTAATGGAAAGTCTACTCTCCAGAAAACAGGCTCTGGACAGTCATTTAGTTAAAAAAAAACCACTCAGCTTTCAGGATTTGGTTTGAGATGTAGTCCAATTTCCTATACCTCTGTCTAGATCTAGAAGCTAATACGTGGTAGAAGGTTGATTATCAATTCACCGTCAACTCCTCAATGATCGTTGAGTCACACTTACTACATACAGTAGGAAAAGGAATTAGTCTGAGAGTTGATCAAAAATGAACTCATCAAATTACCAGCATATCCATTATCCACAAGTCACTCATTCTGATAGTCATACAATGCTGTGTTACACAAAGATGGTAGCCCGTGAAAGTGGGCCAGCTGTAGCTTTCACCTTGAATGATCCTTCAGCTCTTTAGACGTAGGATTTTCACACAAAGAGAAGCCAAGATCTGATTTTTTTTTACTTGCCTTAAGGGCTAAAGTCAATTTCTATCTACTCAGTGAAACTTGCCCTAGCCCCTTGGGCCGATCTCTCTTTCGTCTTCCACAGCAGGGCTCTGGGACCTCTCTTCAGCACAGGGACGTTCTGAACAAGGGAGGCAGTTGCTAGCAGGTGTGTACCCAGTGGATGCTGGGCTGCTCCCCAGTGGCAGTGATTGTGTCCTACTCATTTCTAAAGCCCCCCTTCCCTGTTCTGAAATTAAAATCCAGAGCTGAATTCAAAACAAAACAAAACAAATAAACAAGAAACCCACATATTGTCTAAAGTGTATTATCAATTTGTTATTTAGGAAAAAAGATGTTTTCACGTATAGCCAGATGATACCCAATGTTTCAGAGAGTAGGAGAAAATCTGGGGGGAGAAAGTCATGTGCAAATTAGATGCTCAGCAAAGGTAAACATAAGGCTCTACAATATTGCTCAACTATCACCATAAAGCTTGTCCCAAACTAGAGCCAAAGGAGACTCATTGGGACGTTTTTTTAAAACAGCAATCAACATGTGGATAAAAAAATCTTTTAAAAATAACTTGCCCTCTAATAAAAGCAATTTCTTAAAAGCACCTCAGAGACATGCTTTTTAATGAAAAATCTAGTTAAATTTTTAAAAACATTATTAATAATGATCAAATAAAAAAAGAATTCTGGTTAACTGTAAGTTAAGTAGACTGACTGCTCCACACGGTCTGGGCCGCGCCTTCAGTCCAGCCCTGGAGCCGACTTGTTCAGAGCAGGAAGACTCGCACAACCCTTACCTTCGTGAATATGCATCTTTTGAGCATCTTCAGGATGAAGTAACCCCAGTACAGGTGAAGGACTTGCAGGACCATGAGCTGCAGATTGAGGAAGATGTAGGAGAAAAAAGGATCGAGGTAGTGCAGAGGTATAATCAGCGTGCAATATAAAATCCTGAAAAACCAAACAGATGAGAGCATTTCATTGTAGTCCAAGTACTTGTGAATTTTCAGCGAGAAAGCAGATACTTTTCCTCCCAAGGCATGCAACATTTATTTCATTTCTAATGATGTCCAGGAAATTCTCAATAGAAAACAATATGATAATATTAACTTTTATATCATTATTGGCAAGCCATGAAAAAAAGTATAGTCTGCCTCCTGGGAGAAAAGTTAAAGCAAATGGAATTTTTATAGCCACACAGCCCTCACTCCAAGAATCCTGTACCTCAGCTTCCTCTTTGCAAGCAGAAGAGCACCCTATTCACCTTCCCAGATATGCAGAACAAATAGGGTAGTTCGTGCTTACATGGGGTGATCATTGCCTTATCTCATTTATTTGGCATCAAAGGTGAAGAGGAAATTCCACAAAAGTAAGTCTTCCAGACAAAAGAGGCTTTTAAAGAAGCAAAATTTCTACTATAACTTCCTAAAGTGAACTGCATACTTTATTAATTTCATAAACGGACTCCTAGACCCAGTCTGAACTGGCCTTGATGACCCCAGACACACTGTACCTTCAGGTGCTACTGCAGCAGGAAGGGCTGCCTATTTCCTCCCCGGACTTAAAGCACTACTGTGGTTTTAGGGTTCTTAGATAGGTTTGTTTGTAAGTATTTTATTCTAATACTAAAAATAATTTATTCATATAAAAATGGGCAAATAAAAAAGGAAGTTGCCTATAATACCATCATTTTAAACAAACAGCATTATAATTTTTGCATATGATCTTTCAATTGTATCCTTTATATATTTATTTTAATTTCCTTTTTAAAATCACATATAATAAAATGGACTGTGTTTTGGTGTGCAGCTCTATGATCTGTAACACAGGCATGCATCTGTGCAGTTAGGACAGAGAATAGACCCGTCATCGCCCCCGGGACCCCGCGCTATCCCTGTGCAGTTGCTCTACCAACGCCTGACGATTGGCAAGCACTTACTGCACTCCAGCCCTTTGCTTTTACCTTTTCACAAGGCCACATAAATGGAACACACAACACGTCATCTTTGAGATGGCCTTCTTTCACTCGGCACAGAGTCTTTGAGCTTTGTGCAGGGCATCAGTAGCGTGCTCCTTTTGGATACTGAGTGGTTTCCCGTCTTTTGGACATGCGACAGATTTCCTATCTATTCACCCACTGAAGAGCATTTGCATTGTTTCCAGTTTTTCACAATTACAAATAGAACTGCTATAAATGTTCATGTACAGGTTTTTGTGTGAACGTAAGTTTTCATTTCTCAAGGGTAAATACACAGGGTGGAAGTGTCGGGTGTTACACTGAACTTCACAAGAAACTGAAACCGGTTCTCTGGGGTGGCAGTGGCACTGCACCAGCAATGCACGAGAATGCAGCCCTTCCTCACCCTCATCAGCATGGGGACTGTCCTCCAGAGACGTTTGCCACTGTGGTAAAAGTCACGTGGGTGGGATTTGACATTCAATTTCATTAGCTGTAAATCAAAATCATGTCACACTCTGTGAACCTACTGGTGTATATAAGTCTTTCCCAAAGTGAAAGTCATTTCTTCAGGAGTGTTTATGTCTAAATGTGAGATTACTGTTTCAAGGTGTATATTAAAAGCTATTAAGGCTTTACCATAAAATTTTTCAAGACTGTAATAATTTATAATGCCACCAGCAATTCATGAAAGAAGAGTTTCAATGCCCCCTGACCAGGATCAAATGTGCTTAAAATTCAACTTAAAAAGCAAAACAGTGTCAACTCTCATAATTTGCAGGGCTGACAGCTCCCTATGTCTGCTCAGTAGCTTTGTTTCCTCTTTCTCAGTTCTTTATCCATGCAAAAGGCAAGTATATGAACTCTGAACTCTGCATAACAAAGATAATATAGCCACTTATCCTTTTTACTTTGCAAATATTTTTTTAAAACTTAGGAATTATAGAGAAATATAAAGATGTTAAATCAAAATCACCTAAAATTCACAACTCACAGGTAACCTACTACGTTTTGGTGAATCTAATTTAAGTCCTCTTTCCTAAAAATAATCTTTAAGGTGCTTTTTCCCCCCTTGCCCATTACCATGTGATTTTCTATAACAGGGATCATGCTATTCATACAATTTTTTTGTATTCTGCTTTTATCACTCAATAGTATGTTATAGAGAGCTTTCCATGTCAATGAATACAATCTGCATATCAGAGGTGAGAGGACACTTTATAAAGGAACAGAGGAACATGCAGTATTTCAGCCTTCTGGGCTGTTTGGTCTTTGTTGCAACTACTCAATGCTGCTACTGCAGTGAGAAAGCAGCCATAGACAATCAGTGCCTCGATCAATGGCTGTGGCTGTGTGCCAACAAAAGCCTATTAACAAAAACAATTGGTGGGCCAGGTTGGGCCTATGAGTCGTAGTTTGCTGACCACTGCTATATACCATCCTATGCCACAGCTGCACAGAAATCCATCTAGAGGTATCATCATTGATTAATTTATGTAATCCCTTATTGACAGACATTTAAATTGCTTCCAAATTTTCATGACAGTACAAAGACTGCTGTGTAAGAGAGAACCTGCTCCCTCAGATCTGGACCAGCACTGTAACAGTGATTTTAGATCATCATCTGTCTAAACATTGCATGGTTTATATTTACATTTTTATTTCTTGTGTGTGGGTATATGTATGTGGGTGTATATATTTTAGTTTGGTTCTTTTGATTTAAACTTTGGTGAACTGCTTTTTCACCGTCTCTACCTGTTTTTCAATTGAGGTGTTTACTATTTCCATTGATTCATAAACGCTGTTTATGTATTAAGGACAGCCACAGTACTTTAAAACCATGTTAAATGTCATTACACAGCCAGATTCTTTTAACCTTCTTTATGTTTTATAACAAATGCATTTTGAGAGGCTTTGTAACCAAATGTGCCCACTGCTTTCCTTATAGCTGACCCCACGGCACACTTCGAGAGGCCGTTCTCACCCCCGTCACTAACACACTGGGCCCTTGACCAACAAGGTGGTGGGGGAGCCTACTACCCTCCACACAACTGATAGTCTGCGTATAACTTTCACCCTTTTTGCACGTTATATGTTTTATATATGCATCCATACAATAAAGTACACTAGAGAAAATATTAAGAAAATCATAAGGAAGACAAAATACATTTAAAGTATGTATTGAAAAAAATCTGTGTGTAAGTGGACCTATGAGATTCACACCCATGTTCTCCAAAGGTCAAAAGGAAATAACATTCATAAAGCTTATCTGCCATTCTGATTTGCTGCACTGTTAGGCAGTTGTATGTTTTACCCTGTACTCAGCCTAGAATGCCATTCTCCCTTTCAACTGTGCCTAACTTATAATTAAACTTTATCACAAATACATGTGTATAGGAGAAACACAGGGTATATGGGTTCAGTACTATCCACGGTTTCAGGGCATCCACTGGGGGCTGGAAGTTACCCTTGTGGACGTGGGGGGGCTGCAGTATTACGATCACTATCGCCATGGCAACAACTACTTTTCCACTACAGCCCCCTTCCCTGTGGCAGAGTGCTGCATGAATAATGCCGGAAGAGCAACACCCAGGAGAGTGCTGCAGAACTGGCTGGATTTTCGACTTCGTGAGGAAACAAAGGAAGACGCTGGAGGGGAAGAGCAGACTCAGAAGAAATGGGGACCCTGTGTGGCCTGAACATGTTCTGTAGGAAGACAGAAAGAGAGGGGCTTCACCAAATGGACAGGGACTCGGAAGGGAGCAGCCCCTGCGATCCTGGGGACAACAGGTTATGGGGCTGCAGGGACACTTTCAGGACCTCTGTCTATGGGTCTCAGTGTCCTCACGAAAGGATGGCCCAGCCTCTCAATCCCAAATTCTTATCTTTTGCTAAAGGAAGAATGAGGAAAGGAAGAAAACATGTCTGCCCTTGTGATTGGGTCCCTAACCTACGTGCACCACGTGTGCAGGCACATGTGCGAGCACACCGACACTAGCACACTTGTTTACTTTACAGGAAGCATGGAATTTCCCCTTTCACAGAGAAGGCCAACAGACTGCCGTTCTCAATTCCTGGAGCCATTCTGCTCCGTCCACTGGCCTTTAATCTGCCCAGATGGATATACTACGACTGTGTCCATGGGCTGCAAAGCTCCATTGGCCTTTTCCATGTTTCTGGTTTTGTTTCCCATCTTCACTCTTTCAGTCACTGGAGTTCAGATGGTTTGTTAAAAAATCACATCATTGGTATGCATGGTAGTTGGTTTTGCTGGGCTAGGAAAGGCAACCACCACAAAGTTGTATTTTTCTAATGAAAATAAAGTTAAAGGTCTTTTTTCCTTGTTAACTGTAGGCATGTGCATCAAGCCATTTCAGGATAACCAATACTGGTTCTACAGGTGAGTAACTGCCTACCTGATATTACAGAGGCATCTTATATTTCAAAGTGACCATGCAGTTGAAGAAAACTTTAAAAACTTAGGAAGGGAAAATGCTGCCTGCTCTTAATCATCCAAATTAGTAGGTTAATTTGAAATATATCTGTTCTGTCTTCCCAATGTCCTATTTCTAGTTTTGGTTCTTTCATAACTAGCTGTGTGGCCCTGGGGATATGTAAACTCTTCACCTGACAACAAACAGGGGGACTAAATGCTTCAACAGTGTCGAGGACATGATAGGCAAAGAAGCAGCAAGCAAGCACTGGTCCAGATGAGTGACAACTGACTGCGCTCTGGTCCTGGGCCAGATCCAGTGGTGAGGGCACAGAGCAGTAGAAGACATCCCTGGATCAACAGACAACCGGAACACAGACGGCAGACTGCCATGCTTTCTGAAGCTGAGAGCTCGACTGCAGGTCAGTAAAGGAATGGTCTCATGCTGAGAAACAACACAGAAGTATTTAGGACTAAAAGGACAGAATGTTTGCAACTCTCAAAACGGTTCAGAAAAAGTGTGTGTGTGTGTGTGTGTGTGTGTGTGTGTGTGTGTGTGTGTTGAGAGAGACAGAGAGCAGGAATGACAAAGCAAGTGAGACAAAATGCTGACTGGTCAACCTGGGTAAAGAATATGTATAAGAGTTCTCTATAATACACTTGAAATTATCTTGTGAGCTTGAAATTATTCCCAAATACCTAAATGAGTAAAGGAACTGGACGACCTTGTGAATGAAGTCCCCACCCTACAGTGCTATGATCTGAGGAAGAGCAACTGCCGCAGCTGTCCTTTATGACAGCATGAACAGCAGGGGGGCCAAGCGAGGGGGTGTGCAGGGAGGGGCTCTACTGAGGGCGCAGTGCGGGATGAGACGCTGAGCAAACACGAGCGCTGAGCAAACACGAACGGTGAATTCACTGTCTCCTTCACAAGGCGTGCCACTGGAAAGTCTGGTTCCGAGATTCACATCTGCAGCGGCGGCTGCAGGGAGCCACCCAGCTTCCACAGAGCCACTCTCAGAGTGCACAAGCCCCTCCTTCCCTCCGGTGGCTGTGCACGGGGCCCTGCGCCACCCCAGGAGTGTCAGGGGGGTGACCGTGGCACCCTGACTTGTCATCAGCACTGAGGCCCAGGCTTTATGAGGCCAGAAAGGGTCTGCGGTGTCCTCACTCTGATGAATGTCAGCTGAACTTTCAACTTGGTCTTGTCTTTTCTCTCCTTAAAACTGTCATCTTCCCTGATGGCCAGTCCAAATATTTACATGTTCTCATCACCCACAGAATCCCCTTTCACACGAAACTTCCTGTGGTAAGAGCTAAAACCTGAAATCCAGCGAACCAGTGGTGGGGAAAATAAAGTTCCCATGAGTGTATCTACTATTGGAGCCAGGGACTTGAGTATTTTTCACAGCTGGAGAAGACTTTGTTTCTTTTTGGAAAATAAAATAAAAAAAAAACAGGTCGGTATCAACAGTCTTCCAATATACAGATAAAGTGGAGGACACAAAGGTCCCCAGGGCCACCATTGTGAACTCCTGCAGGGTAGGAAGCAAGCTGGGATGAGTTTGAGCGAGGAAGTGATGAGCCGGCACTGCCCCCTGCCCTGCCACCTGCCCACTTCATCTGAAGGAGGGTGGTCCTTCCCTGCAACAGGACAGCCTGGATGGAACCGCTACCCGTTCTGGTCATTTATGGAGGAAACCCGTCAGGAGTCATTCCCAACATTAGTCTTTCTAGACTAATCGTTTTCAGACAGCATTTGTATGAGTAGTTTAAAGATACGGACATCATTATTTAAAAATAGTAGTTGGGAATATAAGTCTAACATTTAAACACTTTTGAATAGAAATGCAAACAAATGAGGCAACCAGGCATTTTGAACAAAGCAATTTGGACAATGCTCACTGGAATCTCTGCCTAATGTTGAGAGCGACAACATCCAGAAAATCAGTGTCATTAACTCCTGCCAGACCCTGGCTGAGAATTGGCTAAATAAAATCCTGTAAAGAGCAGGAGAGGAGAAGACAGGACACAGTGGTACCAACACAAAAGGAAACTCACCACAGGAAAGCAAATGTACTTGAGGCTGGGGAAAATGAAGGAAGAGCCAAAGGAAGGAAAAGGCAAGTAGAATGTACGAGCTCCAGTTCTTTCTCTCAAAGCTTCCAGAAAAATTTCAGATGGGTCAGCCTTCTCCCCACTCAACCCTTGACCTCACCCCCAAATGTGCAACAACGGCATTTGGGAAGAACAGAGCAACTGGACTGCAAACCGCCTCCCGCCGCACCTCTGAAATGCCTGAACCCCGAAAGAGGTCTATCATCTGCACATTGTTCGCTGCATAGTAAATTCCAACAAATCTGGACCGGTAAAAGACCCTTGAAAAATGAGTGTGCAAAGTTACAAGATCAAGACAGATTGTTGGAATAGGCTAACAACAAGGAACCGACTTTTCCTCTTTGGCATCACAAGATGATTATGTAACATGTTCAAGTTTATGGAAAGATATTTAAGTTAGAGCAATACACTGCAACTGATTCTTTTTTAAAAAAATTGAAAACATCTCTCGAACTTCTAATAGCTTGGTGAGGTTTTCTTCAACCTTCCAAATAATGCAGATCAGTCAACGTCAGTACAGAAAAATTTTTACCGGCAAAAAATTTTTACAGTCAAGACTTTTAATACTGGTTCATTTGCAATCCAGCTCGCTCTCTGAAGACAGCAACCAGTGGTATGGGCTGCTCTCTGAATTCAGCGAAGTATCAAGATCAAGAAAATGCCAAATGCACGTGACTATTTTCCTCGAAATCCAGAAATGCTGGCAGGAGAATGAGTTCTTCAGTGCAGGATTTTTAAAGAAAAGGATATGCGGGAAAGTAACACGCACCTCCACAGTCACTCAACCCCAACACGAAGTTCGGGTGTTTACTGGGCAAGCTTGCTTGTGGGTTTCGAGACATCATGGAGAAGTCTGAGGCGAGTGTCCCTCACTGCTAAATCAAAAGTCAACCACAACAGCAATACTTAGAGGCTTCTCAAAGAGCTCCCTGGACTGACAGCTTCCATGGTGTGTGCTTTTAAAATAGGTCCACAAATTCTTTGAAACTACTCTCATTAAGAAATGGAGTCTAATTCTCCTTCCCTTAAACATGAGCTGGCCTTACTGACCGGGATCCAATGAAGAAAACCAGTTTGCAAGTGACTGGCTGTGACCAAGGCTATAAAAAGAGAGACAGTGTCTGCCTAGCTGTGTTTTGTGCTGATCACCCTGGAATTCCAGCAGCCACACTATGAGGAGGTCAGACCAGTGACAGGGCTGTGTGTAGGCATTCCAGCTGACAGCCCTGCCGAGGCCTGAACCAATAATCAGCACCAACCAGTAGATTTTATGTGTTACCTCAACCATGTGAGTGAGGAAGCCTTCATGAAAATTTCAGCCAACTTCCCAGCCACCATCTGACTGTAACCACATGAATGAAAAGCATCTAGCTGAGGCCAGTCAATTCCCAGAACCATAAAGGATAATAATAATCAATAAATGTTGCAGTTTTAAGAGGGAGGTCTGCAAACTATGAACTGTGGGCAAAACTGGGCCTGCAACCCATTTTTCTACAGCCTATGACCTAAGCTGGGTTTGGCACATTTTAAAAGAAACAAAACAAAACAAAGCAAAATACTCAACAGAGACCACATGTGGCCCCCGAAGCCTTCAAGTCGTTATTCTATGGCCCTTACAGAAAAAGTTTGTTCAACGTCGTCCTAAGCCACTATATTTTCAGACGGCCTGTTGTGCAGCTACAATAATGCAGCTGGAACACATGGAACATAAGAGGAGCTGTTGGTGGGCAAATCCAGGATATGGAGCCCAGGAAAGTCACACTGACAAGCCATAGCTCCACTGTTATCTGCACGTCAATGCTAATCCCACCATGAATCACTACTGTACAATTTTCTGATTTCACAAACATTTTGCTCAGCCAAAGCAAATGAGATGGTAATGTGATTCATTGACCAAGAGAGTATAATACACATGGATCTCAGAAATCTGACTCCAGGTGAAACTCCAAAGTCTAAAAGACTCATTAATAATTTTAGTTATAATAGCTGACTTACTGAGTCCTTACTGTGTTACAAACACTGTTTTAAGTTATTTTATGTGTATTGCTTCAGCTGAGACTCACAAAAGCCCTGATTTCCATTTTACAGATGAGAAAAGGAAGCATGGAGAAGTGACCTAAACTATATGAGAGCACATAGGCAGTGAGTGTAGAACCAGGGTTTGAATTCGGGACTGACTTGCGTCCATGAACCTGACCACAGCACTCTGCTTCTCCCCTCCAGAAAATGTCTAATCAAGACACTCTGTCCTCATTTAATGAATGCAGCTGGCTTCCACAGGAAGGGCAGCACACTTTGACCTCTCTGACCAGACTTCCCCTGGCTAGTCGTCCAGGGTGCTGCACATCCACCAGGAATCTGGCCTGGAACCTGGGTCTCTACCGCTTTCCCCTGGAACTTAGGATCTTCAGTAGCACCAGTTTTTCTGTAGAGACAATATGAAACTCCCAGACAGCCCCGAACCATGGCTAGTTATACAATGTCCCTTCCAAACCATCGAAGGCTTCCTCACATTTCCCACCCCCCTGGTTTCTGTCAGTCAACACATGGAAAATTACGTGTGGCAAAGGAATGATTGTCAGGGAAGACACAATATAGATTCTTCATTGCCAGCCCTTGGATCAAGAAAATCAACAGACTGAACAAGAACCAATCAGTATGAAAGAGATATGCAAACCATTGCTAGGACCAGTAATTATGGACAATAAAATGAGTATCAGTTTCCTCATCCATGAACTGTGAGTGATAATACCTGCCTTTGATTCGTTGTGTAGACCAGTGCCAAAACATATAGAGGGCCTAACCCAGTGGCTGGCATACAATTCCTGGTAGTCATTAATTACTGTAATTAGAACACAGAACATGCCTCTTTTTCAAAGAGCTGATAACTGGCCAGTGACCTTTCCCTGGAATAAGTGGAAAAGCTGTTAATCACAAGACAGACCCATGTTTATGAAACAAGATGGAGAGTAAGAGTTGCTGCTTACCCATTGGGTTACACAGTTCCCATCTCCTTTTGTCGGAGCTTTTTCCACAGTGGAAAGTTTTGTTCTGATTGTATATAAAAGTGGCCCCTTCACATTCTTTTCTCCAACTGAACTTGGCACAAATAGCCAGAGGTCAATGAAAGAGAGGGTCATGCTCTGACTTTAACAGCATGCCAATGCCACCTCAGCACGGGGACCAAAGGCAAGACACAGCCTCCTGTCTACTCACCAGAAGGGAAAAATGATGAGGCGGCTGATGAGAAATATTGCAGAAAAGATGAAAAACAGGATGTTGCAGGTTTGCTTCCACCCGGCATAAGAAAACATCTTAGCAGACTGAAAACAGACAAAGAAATTGTATTCAGACACAGTGATATTAGTACAAGTTTCTTAAATTGAACATTTATAAAGGATATACTATCTGGGATTTTCTTCAAAACAATCGGGCATGTGTGAATAGGGAAAGAGATGACACAAGATTTGTGATATGGATAACTTTTACATCTGGATGATGGATCCATTGGGTCACTCTTCTCTTTATCTGGTCATAACACAATGTTAAAAAAAGATAGGTGAAAATCTTTCAGCAGCACTACAAGTTAGCATGCCTTTTATTGGGGCATCTATTGAATTTCTCCATTGAACGGGGAGGTGGGCAGGGCTGAAAAAAGGCGGGGGTGTGAGGGAAGTCCCGGCTGAGCTGGGCACGCTGCCAACGAGGCAGCTGGGAGGCAACTCCTGGGCCTTGTCCTAGTTGATACCCAGTTTCGAGTGCTTGATTTTCTCTCCTTACTTTATGCTAATCTGTACTGCTCCTATTATCTGTGGTGAATAAAGAGAATTACAGAAAGGGTTGTTTAATGTGGCCTTAGAAGGTTAATTGAAGAGGATTCTACACTTGAAAAAGGGTTTACATTGCACTGCAATTTCCATACTTTTCTATAATTAACCATGGGGTAAGGATGTGATTGGTCCATGGGGTTGGCACACAGCCCAAAAAAGAATGCAGTCTCAGTCCCTGAGATAGGAGGCTAATATGCCAGGTGGGTGAACATGCGTATGAGAGAAAGGCCAGAAGTTCAAAGTGAGTGCCTGGGTTGGAGCAGGGAGCTGTTTGAAAGGGCAGATATTCAGGCCAGGCCAGAGTGCGTAGCTAGAGATGTGCAGGGCCAGACAGCACTCTTTTGGGCACATACTCACACAGTCTATTCTGACTGTGCAAAGGTGGATCTGAGATAGTGACCCATCTCCTCTGCTGTGCATCAGTCAGGATACTGTTAAAGCGCTGGGTCCTGGATCTAAACTTGAACATGTGGACAACAGAAAGAAGCAAGAAGATTCATGAAAAAGGAAAAAGGCCACTTATGAGTAAAAGGTGGTAGATGTTGAGGCTGTTTTTCCTTGCAAAGAACAAGCTAAGAGAGGGCCCACCAACTGTCTTGAGGGATATGAAAGATTAATAGTCTGCATCCCTAGGAAGGTCCACACAGAGGCGAAAGCTGTACCATGTCTGGGTTCAATTAGAACTTGACTGCGAGGACAAACATTAAAAAAAGGAACTATTTGAGGAAGCTGTGGAATAGGCACCCCTGGAGAATATAAAAAAGCAGGCCCCATGCCACTACTTAATGTTGTCTCTACCACCAGCAGATGGAAGGTGCTGGCCTTGCTCACTGAACCTCAAGTTTAGATCCTGACTTGTGAATCAAGAATGATTCATGATCATTAACAACATGAAACTGCTGTCATAGTTTACCCACAAAGGGACCTCTGGATTTGACATTTCATTTTTCTTCGTTTTTTACCTAAGGTCCTAAGAGCATTTTCTAACAGAAATGAGCTAACCTTGACAACCTACCCTAAGGGTCAGATGTGGCTTCTCCTGTTACAGCTGAGGATAGAACACAAAGCATCCAGTGCCTTACTCAGTTGCCTAAGGAGTTACATAGTGTCAGAGACAGGGTGGGGGAGGGCTGGAAAGGACAATCCTAGGCTCATTCCCACTTCCAATGTCTAACTCCCTTTGAATAACACAGTGGAGCTGTTTTTACAGTGGACACACACCAAAGGCAATTGAACTGGAGGGTTTAGAAGCAACGGAGTAGCAAAAAAACCCTTAAGTCATGGCCAATGTGGTCTTAATTTTCAGGCAGGGTTCCTGAGATATGATCAGAGAAGGGGGTAATTAAAACAGAGGTGGCCACATACAAAGAGAAACACATGGAAAAACTGGCACAATCCTTCTTTTGCTAAGCTATTTGCTGCCTGAAGCAAATGTAATCATCTTGACCTTCAGAATAGGATTTACATGCCTAATTACAATTACATACGAGAAACAAAATGCTCTACACAGCTAGCGTTTTAATAGTAGCCAGTTGCTTTGAAATGGCTGCAAATGACTTCTCGTTATGTCTAGAACAGGGTTTGGCAAGTCACAGCCCAGTCTATGAGCTAAAGCTTGTCAGTTCTTGAGGTGAGAATGGTTTTCACATTTTTTAAGGAATATAAGAAAAGACCAAAAAAGGGGGGGGGGCGGAGAATGTGACAAGAAATTCTATGTGGTACACAAAGCTAGATTCACTCTCTGGCCCTATTCAAAAAAGTTTGCTGAACCCAGATCTAGAAGAAGAAGATCCTACTAAATTTAATTTAGTTTCTTCCACATCAACCTATATTCAGTCCCTTGCTCTTCAAGAGGCAATTCTGAATGTGGAGTGGGTTAGCATCATTTCCCCTGGCTTCCTTGTAAATGGGTATACTGAAACGACGAGCCAAGGGGCTCTGGGAAATGCAGCTCTAAGTGCAGCAGCAGAGCTGGCAGTTAAGGGGATCACTGGATCACCCCCAAAGGGCCACAGGGATCAGCACCTAACAACATGGGTGGAGAAAACAGTCCTGGTTTTGCTTTGTCCCTCAGATTTGTGTGGTTTGGGACTAGGAAGACTGCTGCTTTAATATCCACTGCTCCAAAACATTGCTTCCTTAGAAAATAAAATGTTGCCTGAATAAGGAACAGCTTTCGTTCACGAAGCTGGAGGATCATCAGGGCAGGGCAGTGCAAGCATCCAGTGGGTGGGTATTCAGCTTTGGCTTGAGTGAGTACAGGGCACTGTCCAGCGTGAAGAATCCATAGTGCCACAAATCCAGGTTTTCCTTTCAAAAAATTAGAGCGCATTCCATCTTCAAGTAGCTTAGCTTACTTCCTGAGCTACTTTCTGCACACAACTTCCTTAAGTGGAATCCCACAAATTAACCTCCCTGTCAAGGACCATGAAGAACGAGGGCTGGAAATGAAAATCTAAAAGTTTCATTTCTTTGAACTTAAGGATCTGGGGACCCAGCAACATCTGTGGACTTGGGGTGTCTTCGGGACAGAGAGCCATTCTAAATTGCTCAGAGACAATCCTTCCTGTGAGGAATCACAGAAACCCAGGAAGTGCTATTGTTATCAGCGTTTCAACAGTGAACACTTACCTCCAGCCAAATGTCGGCCACGTCGTGCACGATCATCACCAGGGTCCCACTGCGAATGTAGTTAGCACACCAAGAGAAGCTCATCAAACTAATAGCAGCCAGGTGGTGGATGACATTAGCTAGAAAATCCTACATAACGAGGGGAAAATGGGAACCATTAAGAAAATGCAGTTATTTCCCAATCACTGGAAGGCCTGATAATAATAATAATAATAGCTTAAAACTAATAACTTACACGTGCATGTTTTGATATTTGTCAAATACTTTCACTTTAATTCTTAAACATAATCCTTGGGAAGCAAAAAGGACAAGAGTTATCCTCACTGATGAAGTCACTGAACTCCGAGAGAGCCCCGACCTGCTGTCAGCTCAGCCCTACCGTCTGCTGTCCTCCCTCCCGCCCCGCTCTGCATATATGTAGACACATGCACCACATACACGTATACACACATGCATATTCCTGTGCTCATTTACACTGATTGTTTATTTGTGTCTAATTCCAACAAGGAAAAAAAGACATGTAATAGAACCACATAGCCATTACAGAAAGAGGTGCTGCATATGAAAGAGGTAACAAATAAAAGTGAATCACTACATCAGTAAACTGAGGCTAAGGAAAATTACCACAACTGAGCATAAAAACTCAAAGGTTTTCTGCAAAAAAAGATGTACAAATAGCCAATTAGCGCATGAAAATATGCTTAATCTCATTAGCCATCAGGAAAATGCAAATAGAGGCCACAGTGAGATACTACTTCACACCCACCAGGACAGCTAAAAAAAAGCTAAAAAAAAAAAGATAAACAACAACAAATGTTGGCAGGAACGTGGAGAAATTGCAATGCTTATACATTGTGTTAGGAATGTAAAATGGCATGGCTGCTTTGTTAAGTAATCTGGCAGTTTCCAAAAGGTTAAACATAAAATGACCATGTAGCCCAGCATTGCCACTCTTAGGTATATACCCAAGAGAAATAAAAACATATGCTTATGCAAAACCTTGCATACGAATGTGCATAGAAGCTTTATTCATAGTAGCCAAAAATGTGGAAACAACCCAAGTATTCATCACTAATAGCTAAATAAACAAAGTGCAGTATAACCATACAAGGGTTATTTTTTAAAAAACTAATGAAATACTGACACATGTTACAATAGGAATGAATTTTGAAAAGATTATGCTAAGTGAAAGACACCAGATACAAAAAAACACATACTGTGTGATTCCATTTATATGAAATGTCCAGAAGAGGCAGATCCACAGGGACAAAAGGAGATTGGTGGTTGTTGCCTAGGGCTGGGGAAGGTGGAAGAAATGGGAACTGACTGCTAAAGGAATCTGTCATTGAGGTGATGAAAGCGTTCCCAAGTGCACTGTGGCGGTGATCACAGAACGCTGTGACTATGCTCCAAACCACTGAATTATGCACTTCGGATGGATGAATTGTATGCCATGTGAATACTTCAATAACAGTGTTTTGTAAGATACTTAAAGATGGAGGTTTCCTGGCAGCCAAAGTAACAGAGCGAACATGTTGATGATAACAGCCTAATTATTGAGCCCATACCGTCTACCAGGAAGTGCTTCATGTGATTTAACTTGCTTAATCCTCACAACAACCAGAAGAGATCGGAACTATTTCTAGCTCCACACTATGGTTTAGGGAGTTTCACCAACTAACTTGAGATGCTAGTGAGTGAGCAAGCCAGGGATTCGAGCCCAGGCAATCTGGGCCCAGAGCCTGTGCTTTACCCAACTCCTGATAGTGTTACGTCTCTGAAGACATGTGTTTACCAACATGTGACATGTAGGTGCATTTAGTTTTGTAATTTTTTTATATTTATTTATTTTTAGAGAGAGGGGAGGGTAGGGAGGAAGAGAGGAAGAGAAACATCAATCAGTTGCCTCTTCCAACTGGGGACCCAAGGCATGCGCCCTGGCGGAATTGAACCAGCAACCCTTCGCTTTGCAGGAGGACACCCAACAAACTGAGCCACACTGGTCAGGGTGCATTTAATTTTTGAAAAAGTACTAAATGCACCTTGTAGATGATAAAGAACAATCAACTTTTTTTGATTGTCTCAAGAAATTACAAAAGACAAAATCATTACAGGATCAACTACCTCAGCATTTTTTTCAATTCTATCCCTTGAGAAAATGACTCAATTAGCTTCAAAGTTAATGTTTCTATAATGTTTTACTACAAATACTTACCAAGGCTGTAAAAATAAAAAAAGCCATGAACTCAAACTTAACACACATGAAATCCAATTTAAAGACTGGGATTTGGGGCAGGGGATAAAATCTTTTGGAAAAAAAAGAATAAAGTAGTTTTGTAAACGAGACACTTACCTTCCTCTTGACATCAGAGCCCAGGCTGAATAAGAGAGACCAGTAAAACCCCATCTCCAAAATGTAGTACCAGTACTGGGATGGCAGCAAGGGCTGAGGAAAATGAGAGTACTCACTTTAATGTTGTTTAACTCATTTTAAGGATAAAACTACTGTTTACCCCAATTGATGTAAAATTCCCACAAATAATAATGCTTTACATTTCAGCTTACAAGAAGGAACCGGAGATGTTTTCAGGAATTTTATTATTTGAAAAGAATAATTGGGTAAACAACAATTACAAAGTCAAGTTACTCAATCAAAAGTTATCAAGCATAAGATGACAAATAAGAAAGAAAACAGATCCACAGATTATCAAGATATTGGATTTATCAGACTTGGACTTAAAAATAATTTTAAAATTTGGTTAAAAGGTGGACATTTTCAACAGAGAATGAGTATTTATTTTTAAAAAGAATTAAATAAAAGTCTCTGAACTTTAAAATATAATAACTAAAACTGAGCACTCCAAAGATAAATATCACAGCAGACTAGACACTGCTGACGAAAGCACCAGTGAACTGGAGGACACGAAAGCAGAAAATACCCAGAACTGTGAAGGGTCGGAGGTTTTTCTTTACTTGCACGTTACTTTGCCAAAGTTTCATGGATGCTGGTAGAAGATATGAGACTTCTGAACCACAGATTTAAAAGCTTATTATTCACGGTGTAAGTTATCGATATTTGGGCCAGTTCTCTCATCCAAGTTCCCATAGGGCTAAGTGAAGAGGGTCAGATGTCGCCTGCACCTGCAGTGGGGAGTGTTACCAGAGAAAACCCTGAGTTTGGGGACCCTACTCTTTTCTAAAGGGACAGCAACATGCCTATCCTTTGCTCCAGAAAGAGACATTTTTCTACCTTCCAAGGTTGTCATGCAAACATCCTTGAAAACACAGTGCGGAACAAAAGGTAGTCAGAGTTTCACTTCAGACAACAGGATGAAATGCAAGAGAGCTGTGGAGAAATGTCTCCTAACAGACCGGGGCACAGAGAGACCAGAGGACGAAAAATATTGGGAAAACTGTAAGAGCCACATGGGAGCTGGTGTAAAGGGCTAGCACATTAGCACATTTGTAATGGAAATTCCAGAAAGAGAGGAGAGAAAGGAACAGAAGGATGCCTTAAAACTTTCCAAAACTGACTCAAGATAGCAAGCCCCAGAGTCAGCAAGTACTATGGACAGTAAACGGGACAAATTCAAAGAAAATCAACATTTATACCTATCATACTATAACTGCTGAAAGACAAAGACAAAATATTAAAATCAGCCAGAACACTAACTTTTTAAAGAAACTGATAGGATGCAGAAGATAGCAAAAATGACATCTTTAAAGTGCTGAAGGAAAATAACTATTAACATAGAATTCTATGCCCAGCAAAAATATCCTTTAAAAAAATTAGGCAAATGGAGGACTTCCGCCAAGATAGAGGTGTAGGTGGAACCACTTTGCTTCCACGCACAACCAAATCTAAGAACAACTATTTTTAACAACAAAAAACACAACCAAGCCACACAGAAACTTGACAATACGGAGTCCGAAGACAACGAAATGCTCAGCTAAACCGGTAAGAGGAGTGAAGCCAGCAGCGGAGCAGGTTGGCAAAAAAAAATCCCCAAACGGGTGGTGCGCACACAGCCAAAGGCACAGATCTCAGGCTAGCTACAGGAGCACACAGGGAAGAGGCCCAGCTGCGTGCAGATAAACCAGTGAAGAGGGGAGCAGGCGTGGGGCAGCAGGCTCGCACAATTCCCATCCGATAAACAGGCCCGGGGCGAGTGGTGGGACTGGACGGACTGGGCTAGCGGAGAGGACTGTCACTGCTCCCTCTCTGACCACACCCCCACACACAGCATCACAAACCAGCGACCTGGGCGGCCCCGTCCTGGTAAACAACTAAGGCTTCGCTCGGCGTACTTAACGGCGCAAACAGACCAAAATTGGCTCAAGAACAACTCAGAGCCCCAGAGCCGATCAATCCAAGCGATGAAGAAATAGCCAAACTTTCAGATGCACAGTTCAAAACACTGGTTATCAGGATCCTCACAGAACTGGTTGATTTTAGTCACAAATTAGAGAAACATATGGAAGCTAAACTAATTGAAATGAATGGTAATACAAAGGAAACCAATAGTAATGGAAAGGAGATTGGGACTCAAATCAATGGAGTGGACCAGAAGGAAGAAAAAAATATCAAACAGAAAAGAATGAAGAAACAAGAATTCAAAAAAATGAGGAGAAGCTTAGGAACCTCCAGGACATCTTTAAATGCTCCAACATCCAAATTATAGGGGTACCAGAAGGGGAAGAGTCACGAGTGGCAACCTTATTTGAACAAATAATAAAAGAGAACTTCCCCATTCTGGCAGAGGAAATAGACTTCCAGGAAATCCAGGAAGCTCAGAGAGTCCCAAAGAAGTTGGACCCAAGAAGGAGCACACCAATGCACAGCATAATTACATTAGCCAAGATTAAAATGAAGGAGAGAATCCTAGAAGCAGCAACAGCTAAGGGGACAGTCACCTACAAAGGAGTTCCCATCAGACTGTCAGCTGATTTCTCAAAAGAGACCTTCAGGCAAGAAGGGGCTGGAAAGAGGCATTCCAAGTCATGAAAACCAAAGACCTACAACCAAGATTGCTCTATCCAGCAAAGTTTTCATTTAAAATGGAAGGACAGATAAAGTGCTTCTCAGATAAGACCAAATTCAAGGAGTTCATCATCACCAAGCCCTTATTATATGAAATGTTAAAGGGACTTATCTAAGAAAAAGGAGATAAAAAATATGAACAGTGAAAGGACAGCAAGCTCACAGTTATTAACAACCACACCTAAAACAAAAGCAAACTAAGAGGATAGCTAGATCAGGAGTGGAAACATAGAAATGAAGATCACATGGAGGGTTAGCAACAGGGGAGTGGGAGGGGGAGAAGGTACAGAAAATAAGTAGCATAGACAGTAGATAGAAAATAGATGGGGGGGTAAGAATAGTAGGGAAATACAGAATCTAAAGAATTTGAGACACGTGTTCATGAACTAAAGGGGGAAATGGTGGGGGAGGGGTATGCAGGGTGGAGGGGAATGGAGGGGGGAATAGAACAAATGTAATGGCATAATCAATAAAAAAGTTTTAAAAAATTAAGGCAAATGATAACATTTTAGACTAGCAAATCAAAGGGACTTCTTCAGCCTGAAGGACGATAATTTCAGGAGGAAGCATGGAAATGCAGCATGCAAGGAACAGCATGGAAAGGACAATTTGGCTGATTTACAAAACAATAATAGCAGTGACTTGCAGGGTTTTAAATATTTGAAAGAGGAATAGGAAGAGGGTATATGGAATATTCTAATGACCTTACAGTGACTAGAAAGGGGTTAGGACACTAATTTATATTAATTCTAATGATTCAAGGATGTATATGGTAATCTCTAGGATGATTATTAAAATAATAACAGTATGCATAACTGAAAAACTATATAAGAAAAGAAGTGGAATAATGATATGTTTTAAACTTGACTGTCCTATAAAAAGTAAAGAAGAGAATTTTAAAAAGGAAATGCATTAGGTGGCATAAATAGAAAATAAAATAGTAAGAAGGTGAATTTAAACTCAAATACATAATTACATTAACTGTAGACAAACTAGCAGAATGAGACAAATGACAGGTCAAGAATAAGGACTCGGTCAACCCCAGCACAGAAAGAGACAAAGGACTGGACAGGAGCTGACAGAAAGTAGGAACAGGACTCAGACCTGACTCAGGATGACGCAAAGGGCCTGCTGGACAAAGTAGTGAGGGACAGCGTCGGAGGTCCTTACCTGTCTGGGGTAGCCATTCCACACCTCCCAGAGGTCATACACCCAAGGTTTCTGTAAAAAACAAGGAACCGAGAGAAAAAAATTAGTGTGTCAGAATCAAAGGCTGTCTTCAGCAGAAAACGTAAGCTGTTCCTGATGTCACTGATGGGGAGCAAACAGGCACAGCTGGCTGCATCTGTGTCACCTTCGGGAGCTCCCGCTGCACAACTCTCCCTCTGTAGGTATTCACACACATTCCCAAACAGTTGACACACCCGGGACAGTTGAGACTTCCAGTGGGTCTGGGACCAAAACCAGGCCCATCTTACAGTGCAAATTATCTCAGACAAATGCCTCTTCTACCAAAATAATTTCTGAGCCAATTTCTGCTCCTGTAGCAATAAAACACCTTCAGAGAAATGAACAGTCTTGAGAGAAGTCTCTAAAACCTGGCTACCTTTTATTTTTCTACAAACAATTTACTATTAAGTTTATAATCACTTGATGAGGTAATCATTTAATAATTATTTAAACAGACAATGCAAAGGGTAAGGAGAAATGTAGTTTTTGATGGGCAAGTAATGAAAGCCTTCACAGCACAAGCGGCATTTGGTATGAGCCTAGCTGGAATTTGACAGGTAGAGAAAGATGGGAGCAGCGAGACACTCCTGGGCGGAGGGGGTAAAGGGTGCTAAAACCCCCAAGTAGGGGTGTACCAGGTATGGTCAGTGGTTCATCAGTAAGCTGGTTTAGTTGGTGCTTGAGTTGCACAAGGTGTGGAAATAGGGAGAGATTAGGTTTAAAAGTTAACTTTGCAAGTGCAAAGCTTAGTGACAGCTTCGAAGGACAGACTGAGATGTTGCTACTTCTCTAGGCATTAGAGGGGATAGGGGTTTAAGACCTGATCATCTTCTTGAACGTATTATATCCTAAGAAAACCAAGGGCAGGAATTTTTTTAAATGAATGACAAGTCCCAATCGAAGATATCAAAAACACAACTTACATCATAGAGAAATGCGACTCCAGCAACAGTAATCACTAAGTAAAATGCAAATCGCCAGCTGCCAAAAGAAAGAAAAGTCTTGTAAAGGTGATGGACATTTGAGGAGAAAAATTCTTGGCGGCACAAAAAAACACACTCTGGAGCCAAACAAATCTAAGTTGAGGTCTTAACTCTGCCACTTACTAAATGGCTATGGCTTTATGGAGGTCACTTAGCCTCCGGGAGCCTCAGTCTCTTCATCTGTAAAATGGAAACAATGAAACTGGTCAAAATGTAAAAAAATTTAAAATAACTTATGAAAAATACTGGTCATGGTGTCTAGTGTGAAGTTAGCAACAATAAGTGGGACTTATCATTATCTTTATTCATTATTATTATGCTTAGCCCAGTTCCTGACACACAGTAAGTGATGGTTTGATGTCAGTATTATCGACAAATCATTTATTTCATCCCCATTTATTTCCCAGTGGAAAGGTTTCTATGTGGGCCAGACTATCTGGCCTCTGAAAAGCATATTTTGAAAGGTTATCTTTTTCTTATGTCTGGAGGAAGACTATAAATTAAGAGACTTTGAAGACATTTCACCCAATTGTAATGCATGGGTCCCATTTAGATCCTAATTCAAATAAACAAACTATAAAGGAGATTTGAGATAGTTAAGGAAATATGAATATTGATTACTTGCTGTTATAAAACAAAATTTTAAAGGTATGATATTGGTATTACAATTATGTTTAAAATTACTATGGTATGTATCTTTTAGAGATATGTATATATTAAAGTATTAACAGATAAAATCATATAATGTCTGATACCTGCTTCAAAAATGATCTTCAATAATAATTGGACAAAGGCAGTTAAAAGGTACCAACTTCTAGTTACAAGATAGGCACCATATCATACATTATATCCCATACATTGCTATGTGGTATATTTGAAAGTTTCTACGAGTAGATCCTGAAAGTTCTCATCACAAGGAAACAAACCTTTCTTTTTTCTTTTTGAATCTGTATAACATGATAGATATTAACTAAACCTATGGTAATCATTTCACAACATATGTAAGTCAAGTCATTATACCACATACTTAAATGCACACAGTGCTGTATGTCAACCACACTCAATTAAACCGAACAAAGAATAGCTGTGGTGGGGAAGAAAAGCAGGCAGGGCACAGATGACAGAGCACTGCCTAAGTTGACATTGACTAAAGTCAGTGACAGACGCAGAGCATGCACAGTTCATTCCACTAGTGTTTCTCCTTCAGAATGTGGTCACAGCTTTACAGTGACATTTTTAACAAGTACTGCTATTCTATCTAACGATTGTTGAAATAATGACAACAACATTAAAAATAATATTTCTTCCTCACATTTGTCTGGTGCCATGCCTATAAGCTATGAGAGAGAGGAGTGTGGGCTCACTCCCACCGGGTGATGGGAGGGACACCAGGCTCACAGAGGCCGGGCCATTTCCCCAGCTCCCACGGCTGCACAGTAACAACTGAGACAGCACAGGTCTTTGGACCCTGCATCTAGCATAACGTGTCCCGAACATTATCATATAAGCTCAATGACAGCTTTTCTTCATGGCTTGTTTCCAGAGATTAAAAAAGAAGTAGGGTTCAATTGCTCAGAAAGTTGAACCGTGAAAACACCCAAAGGGCATTTTATATAGTGAGCTGGTTGAGACCTGTTCTCACAAGACTTGTTTAGTGCTGGCCCAGCTTAGGCCCATGCTTAGCTGCACAGGGCTTTTCCTGGGCTTCCTGACAATTGCAGCCAAGCAAGAAGCACAGAAACAAGGAGCCGGTAAGACCTGCAGCCCCAAAGGCAGCCTTAAGTCGGTGGCACATCTCCTAGCCTGTGTTTCTGAAGCATGCACTGACCTCTTGACCTAGTGCCAGGCGCTGTGCTAAGCACACATGTATGTGCCTCATTGCATGTTTTTCTTCAGCACAAGCTCATGAAGGAGGTGGCTGGTTCTCACAGGTAGATAAAATGAGTGCTGAAGGACACTGAGGCCGAGAGACGTCACCTAACTTATCCAGGTTATACAGAAACAACCAGATCCAAGAGTAAAACCCCATTTTCCATCTTTCTGGACCAGTCCTAGCAGGTTTCACCACACTATACTAGGGCTTCTCAAAGTGTGCACCCAGGACCCCTGACATCAAAATGTTGTCACAATAACACTGAAATAGTGTTCACCCTTTGCTCTCACTCCCTCACAGGTGTCTAGTGGACACTTCTAGAGGGCCCATGGGGTGTGATCGTATCGTTGCTCAAAGAGCTGATGAATTGTGTCATTCATATGTTTTATAAACATCTGTTTTCATTTCTAATAGTGTAACTATCGGTAGGTAAGACACGCATGAGCAAATGCTCTTTGGGGTCTTTAATAGTTGTTAAGACAACAAAGGGGCCCTGAAACCAAAGTGGATGAGAATGGATACACCTCCCTAATAACAAGATGAATGATGGCGTCCTGTCGATGCCATCTTACTTAATTCCAAAGAATGTAAAGTAGTAAAAGTCGCCCCCACCCCAGGCAAGGCTCAGATAAAAATAATTGTGTGTGTATGTGTGGTGGGGGAACTCTTGGAAAAATAATCCAGGAAAGGACAACTTGGGCTTAGATGGTGAAAGATGAGACCGCAGGGTGGAATCTGGGCAGAACTGGACAGACTGAACTCAGACCAGCAGTGAGAGGAGCTGCAGGTGCGGGGCTGCAGTGGGAGAGGCAGACGGAGAGGGCAGTGGGCCTGCCTGGGCCAGCCCTCACTCCAGCACTGGGGGAGATCCCTGCCTAGATACATATGAGCCATTACCACGTATTTTTACTGCACATTGCTAAATGAAAATCATATTTTAAAAAGAAAAGTGATCAGCTAATATGGAATTTGACCTAAAAATAAAGGATCCACTGTGGATTAAAACCCTTAAATGATGTGGAACAGGATTTAGGAATCATAATTAAAGAAACTAAGTAAATAACACCCGGAAGTGAAGGTGCCTGGAGCTAATCTATCCTGTACTTAAGGTGTTTGTGGCTAATCCACCTTGATATCACAGAGGAGTGCCTGCCTCCGGGAGCATGATTTGTAAGGACTCGGTGTTTAGAAGCTCCTGAGATTTCCACAGCACTGGGTACCTCTTGCTAAGATCAAAAAGCACATCCCAGAGCTGATGGAACAAAGTGCCGTTCCTATACAATTAAGGTTGGCAGGTTGGCATTTTGCTTTGGTCTACTAATTTAGTCCATGACAACTTTTAACAGTTATCTGAATTAGAGAAACTTTGGGACATTGCTAAAGAATAAGATAAACCTTAAATCCGATGTGGTGGTCCACTCCTGTTTCCTAAATACTTGAATAATTTCCTGCTTTGTGCTTCTGCCTTACTTGAAACAGGCTGCCTTCAAATCATACTTTCTCTTCTTATGTAAATCTGATGCATTCTTCAAGGCCCAGCTTATGTCTGATGTCCTCTAAGAAGCCCTTCCCTAATGGTTTGGCCCTATGGAGGCCAGATCCTCTGAAAGCTCACAGCACATCTACACTTGACCGTGGACTGCAGGTGTAGAGGCCCGTGTGCCACTGGGGTGGAGTCACAATAGATGCTGTGGTTTCATAAATGATAGTCTCATCTTCCTGATGAGCTCTCCAGGCCCGTGACCATGCCTTCCACTTTTTATTCCCTATAAAAATCCCTCCCCACAATGTAGGACAGCGCTGTGTACAGAGAAGATAGTCAATGTAACCCTCTGCATTGCCAGACCAATTATGGCAACTCAAAATTCCCTTGTGTAACCTGAGCTCTGCAGCCAACTTTCGGTGAGCTTACTGACGGCCAGATTCCCAAATGCTGAGCCCTGGGACTCAGTTACCTGACACAGCAGGTTCTCTGCTTTGCTTGCTAAGAAGAGCATTAGATGGTGGGGCAGGGAGGAGGGTAGAGTGGTGGAGAAGAGCATCAGAAAAGGAGTCAGAAGACCCAAATACCACAGCCCTGCCAATAGCCAGGTAGCCCTGAGCAAGTGCCTGAAACTAGATGGACATGCAGTTTCCCATTTCTTAAACCTTCCTTGACTGCCTCCCACCACTGCTGGGGGGATCAGTGATTATTTATAAACTGCAAAGCCCTATGACATACAGGAAATTAGCAGAGAATTTCACTGGCGTACGATTCAGCAGATAATCAGCCCCTGCCTGGGGACTTGAAGATAAGACTCACATGCCAGAAAGAAGGAATGAAGGACAGGGGAAAACAGGAAGATGTACAAGGAGACTAGCTCCACTCTGGAGTGCTTTGTGGTGACGATGCAGAGAGATGCCCTCATCCAGGTTCACATCAGCATGAACATGAACCAATCTCTCAAGAGCTAAAATCAGAGAGAGGCAGTTAGAAAGAAACCAGGCCACATACCTCCAGCCACGATGGGAAAGGCAGCAGAAGTGTGTGATGAGGAGTGTCAACCTGAAGTGTCTGTGCCTCTTAACATGACCGTTTCCCAGCTAGATGACAGCACTCAGGAGGCCATTGAAGGCTCTGCTTATTTACCTGAGAGTCTTCTGTCAGCTTCCTATCTATTTCACCATGAAAACAAAATGGCCTCCTGAAAGTCCCTAGGCAATGTGAGGACCTCAACAAACAGGTGGAAAGAAGGAATGCTATCGGCATGTAGAATGCAACATCAGACACAACCCAACTCACATGCATTGGTCTGACTGTAAGGAAGAGGAACCAAGATGTCCATTTTGGCCACCAAAAGTGGGTGGCCTATATACTACTACAGTATTCTTCAAGAGAGAAAAACAAACAAACAAACAAAAGAAAGATCTCAAGTAAAACCAAAAGAAGTACAGGGCAGTTCACTGTTCTCAGAGCATATTCAAAGTAGTGAGCTCTGGCAAAATTCCCCCTCCGTGTCCCAGCCCACCTGCACCCCCGCTGAGCCACTTGGTGCACCCACAGGACCTGGCTTCCCAGTCCATAGGCAGGGTTGGGGAGCAATGAGCCCACTGAGACAGAAGGAAGTCCTCTCCGTGTTATGGGCAGAGAACAGACATTCTCTGCTATTATAATGTGCTATAACAATTACAATGTGATTGGAAACAAGTGATAAAGTCTAGTGAACTGGGGCCAATCCCTGCTCTAGAAAAAATAAACACCAGTTAAGACATTTTTATGATTTTTCTGGACTTCAAGATAAGAACATAATATCTCCTGCTCATCCTAGAGAGATTATAGTTTTCCCCGTTTCACAGAGAAGAAAGCTCAAGCACCACTGTAAACTGGAGACTAGTCTAAAACACCCGCCTGGTAAGGGACAGAGCTGGGTGCCAACCCGTCTCAGAAAGAGACAACCATCCAGCTCCACATAAAACTGCAGCACTTCAGAGGTCTGACTGTCCTTACCAAGCTTCCTGGAATTTCTTCATCCTGCAAGGCCTCTCTAGGTTCCGCCGACCCCGAAACCATCTTTCAACCTGGCGCTCTGTCAAGTTACACTTCTTTGCCAGTCCATAAATATCAGTCTGAAAAGGGATGAAACAAATGAATGAGTGATAAAGAGCAGAGTCAGACTGGCAGGCAGTCAAGAGACAGTGAGATTGGATTACGAGAGCTCGTGTACTGGAAAGGAGAAAAATTCCTCCTCCAACTTGGGCCAGAGAGTTCACCCCATTTGCGCGTGAAAACTCTCTCTCTCTCTCTCTCTCTCTCTCTCTCTCCCTCACACGCACACACATAATCTCTAAATAGAGGAAATGTTAGTATCCCAGAACTCTGAGTTACTAAGAAAGATCAAGTCTTTATAAGTTGGTAGCAACCCACACGTTCAGGTTGCATACATGAGCTCATTCATCAGCTCAATTTTCATTCAGAGCCTCTTAGGTACCAGGTAGAGTCTAAGATGCCAGTCAAACCCACTCTCTTCATTTTTTCCTATGAGCAAACAGAGTTACAGTAATTGCATAAGACCTGAAGTTAGTAGCAAACTGAGGACTAGAACTTAGGCTAGTACACATTCTGTTATTTTATATGATCTTTCTAATAGCTCCAAAACATATTGCAGGAAAAACTCACACAGGTGCTGGTCATCACTTTCACATTTAATCATATGTAGTGCCTATTTCAACCTGATCTGAAATAGTTCAGATCATAAAAAATGATTGCAGAATATAAAAATGGTGGTTGCTTCTCTTCTGGGAAGCAATTATATATTATGATTTTATTTACTTTACTTTTTTAGAGAGGAGAAGGGAAGGAGAGAGGGAGAGAAACATCCATGTGTAGTTGCCTCTTACGGCCCCCCACTGGGAACCTGGCCCACAACCCAGGCATGTGCCCTGACTGGGAATCAAACCAGTGACCCTTTGGTTTGTAGGCCGGCACTCAATCCACTGAGCCACACCAGCCAGGGCCAGAGTGGTGTTTTAAGTTGTAGCCTTTCAACACAGGCATTTTTTGAATGTTAAACCTACAATACTTTCCACTTCAACAATGAAAAATAAGCTCTGTAATTTTTTTTAAGCACCAGCTTTCTTGACCTTTCATTTTCTAATATAAATAGAAGAAATATTTTCCTCTTAACTTTACCATGAGAAAAATAAAATTCTATAAAACGGACCCTCAGCTTCAATGTTGAGGAAATAAACAGAAGCCACCTGGACACAGCAAACAGAAATACCCCTGCTTTGTCCCCAAGGTGTAGCTGGGACCGCACTCTGGCTGGTAAGTCCCAGAGTGGAGGTGTAGGCCCAGAACTCCAGTGTGACATCACAAGGTTTTCTTAATGTTGATCAATACCTCAAAGTAAATTTAAACCAATTGTGCACCAGCATTGTGAGGGCCAAACAAAGCCTGCCCCTGGCCTGATGGCTGGAGACCTGAGAGTGTGTGACCAGTAACCAAGCTTGTGCTGTGTTATTATTGTGTGTTGTTTGTATAATGGCTCAGGTACTCAGTGCAACAGTAGGTAAAATTCATAAGGAAGCTCTCAGGCTGAGACTGGCAAAGGACTAACAGCAGCTTCCACATGCCTGCTAAAATGTGGGCCTATTCCTTAACCTGCAGAGAAGAAAGGCAAAAACAAAGCAAACAGGATGCAGCCTGTCTTACACTGTTTCCCTGCACATCACCCTCCCCAGTACCTTGTTACTGATAGGCCGGCAGTTCACTGGTTGTTGTTTTGTTTTGTTTTTGTGTTTTAGAGGAAACTGAGTTGGCAACTACTCATTGGTGCCTACTTCTTGCAGGCATTTTGCCAGGCTTTGGAGATCTAAATAAGCAAGACTTTACTTCTCAGGGTAAAGTCTGTCTGGGGAGGAAGTCAAAACTAAAACAAAGAAGTCTAATAAGATAGGCCAAGTGCCACGAGTGGGGAAGATTAGGGCACCACATGACCTAGCCTTATGTCAGCAGTTCCCAGAAGTTACACTTAAGCTGAACCCTGGAAATGCCCCAAGAAAGAGAGGATGAGGAAGAAGAGTATTTTGGCAGGGGGGCTAGCATGTGAGGGTGAGCGGAAACACTTGGAAAACAGAAAGAGGCCTTACAGTGCACAATTCTACAAAGAGGAGAGAAAGAAAGATGTGGCCAGAGTCACATCAAAGGTGGCCTTGTCTGGAATTGATCTTGTGGGTTATAGGCTGCTTGTGTTTTTACAGTCTCCTGTTGCAGCCTGCAAAGAAGGCAGGAGCTGGATGAGATAAGGCGGGGGCCGTGTCCCAACTGCCCTTTGGCTCTAGGCCTCTGCTCCTCCGTACCGGCAAAGAGGGCCTGGCGCACCAGGCTGGACGAGTTTGGAGAGTGCACCACGCTCATCACACTCCCTCCCAGAGAGAAGAGCACAGCGAGTAGAGGGGCAGGAGAACACAGCTGGCAACCTGGCAACCAGAAGCAGCAGGTGCACTTCTGCCACTTCCCAGCCGTGCAGCCCTGAGTGCCACCCTCTGAGCCCCCCGTGCAAGAGGGGTAGTAACAAAGAGTATGCTCGCTTGCTGCCTCCCAGGAGTAGTTAGGGGACTGGGGCCTCCTGGATGTGAACGTGTTATGTGAATTGTCACCTGCTGTGCTAGTCCTGTTGATGATGGCTGAAGGCAGAAGGGAGACCATGGGCAAAACCATTTGAGAAGATGTGCTCTTCTGCTTCTAAATTAATCGCAAACGTGAACAAATCCCCCAAACAGAGGGCATAATTCAAACTCTGTTGCTTGGTCCATAGCAGGATGTATTCTGAAATGCTGCTGTACTATACTCTATACATTCTTAGGCAGAAGTGGCCAAGGGTCTAGCCTGACTGGTTTAAATGCTTTCCTCACTCAGTCATCCAGAAAGATGTGGTGGGCAGAGCTCTACTCACTAGTGGCAGGCACCATGCTAGGCACTGGAGATTTAGCAGGGAGCAAAGCAATGTCCCTGCCCTCCAAATGGAGTCTTCCCAGGTCTGAGAACAATGTTATTATCCCATCATGTCTACAGAGGGCTGCTTAGCAAATGCATCTAGAAGACAGGAATAGAACAGGACTTGAAGCATTTTTTTCTGTTTTGCAGCACAGATTAATCTGGTTGAAAGTCAGTCTTGGCAATACTGGCTCATCCACTACAATGGTATTGAGCAGGATAGAGCTCCTCTTGTAAACAAGTCTCTAGAAGTGTTTTCTTTCACTGACACATGAAATGAGCATTTATTCAAGGCCTACAATGAACAGAAAATTGTGTAGCTGTTATGGAAACAAGCATAATTAAGAGACAAATGATGTTCCCTTAGGACAATTTGAGTTGTGAAGACATGTTTAAAAACACTCCTGTAGAAGTCAGTATGAGAGATACAAACTGAGTATCCACTGTATGTCAGGCACTGTTCTAAGTACTCAACTCAATCCTCACGACAGTCCTGTGAGATAAGCATTAGTATCATGCTCAATTCACAGCGGGGGCAACTGAGGCACAGAGAGGTTAATCTGCCCACCTCCACACACATTCTGCAGCATAGCCAGACTCTGGACTGCAACGTCTGGCCTCACGATCCATATTTTTAGCTTCAGCACTGCAGAGGGCCTCTGGTATGGCCTGGCGGAAGAGCCCTGAGTTGGGGAGAAGAGGCACCTCCGCAGGCACTTCGTCTGCTTGACAGAAACCCTCCGGGAGTGCAGAGGGACGACCCGACCTCTTTGGCTCTCACATGTCTCACCTATAAATTAAACTGAACTAAAGAGCTTTTTGCTCTAAAAAGTTTGGACCAGTGAATGAGACAAGCTAGCAAAGTAGAATGCCCTCATGAACCGTAATACTGGGTTTTCTGTCAGTCTCACAGCATCACGTTTTCTTGAAATCTCTCCCAGAGCTACAGACTTATTTTTCTGCATCAGTTCTCATTGCAGTTTTGCTGAGGGGGAGGGCTAGATCATCAGTTCTGCCATTACTCCATTTTATCAATAGCAGAGTCATTGATCTGTTGGCCAGAGCTGTTGGTCTGTTATCATGGCTCTCTCCCAATACATCTTGAAGTTGTTATTGAAATATATATAAAGAGAGACATAAACACATATATAAATAATGGACACACATCTGCACATACACAGGCACAAAAGAATTGTGCAAAATCATGGCTCACAACTCTCATGGGAAGATGACGTGCATAGCATTTTGGGGCCTCGGTAATACCATGTTATACCCTTCTGTGCTAACCAGCCCAGAATTGATACTGTATATACTGAAATAGCTTTGTTTCTACTGGTGCAGCCCATCACAGCTGAAGAAGCGTCCTCTGGTCTGCGTACACCATTGTTTTAGTAAGGGCATGTGTTACCCACATGTATTACCACTGCAGCATTCTGCCATGATAGCTTCGAGATACTTTGAGGTCATACCCATACCTTGAAACAGTGCAAAATTTTTTTCAGTTCCCCGGACAACTTGTTTTCCCTCTGCCAAATTTATGGCTGTCTGTATGACAAAATACAGACAAAATGCTATTTGTATGACATTGGCCAAGTTAATGCGGGAGGTATTATGAGATTATTTTGTTTCCACATCTGAAATTACTATTAAGTCATGTCCTTTGCCTTCCTCTATTATAGTCTGTCTTCCCAAATTCCAGTGCTTGTAATCTATGGGCATTTTTTGGACAACTTGTTATCTTGATCTGTTATGCAAATACTGCTTCAATTTTACAATCTGCAAGCAACATAACTTAGAAATCTTAATTATTTTCCTTTATCTTCTTGGTTTGGGGTTGGCGTATACCATTTCTGCTTTGACCTGATGCAAATGTGCACACCATACATATTGAGTTAGACCAATTACTACAGTTGTTCTAGCCTTTGAAACACGCTTCTAATATTCTACGAACAGGTGAAGCAGTCACTTGGTCACTACAGGAACGGTGCTGGTCAGGGGGCCGGAGGGGCCAGGTTCCCATTATAATTCAGCTGCTAATCATGTTCCTCAGACAGCTCATTTCCTCTTATAAGGGCTTAGTTTCCCCACCTCAGTTATGAAGGAAAAAGATTACCTAATCCCTAAATCTCTTTCAGCTTTTCTTAGTTTTTTATTTTTTTAACTGGCACATGGCTACTATCTCTCCATAGCAAGGAAACTTGACGAAGACCAAATTTTCTGCATAATTTTAAATGTCCTAGAAAGTCGACTTGAAGCTCTTGCTGTAGCAAGCCCAGCAGGTAACTGGTAGCACAGCACTGGCTTTCACATTTTTTAAAAATTTTTTTATTGATTATGCTGTTACAGTTGTTCTATTCCCCCCTTCATTCCCCTCCACCCTACCCCCCCCATCCCCACCATTACCCCCCCTTTAGTTTATGACCATGTGTCTCAAGTCCTTTAGATTCTATATTTCCCATGCTATTCTTGCCCCCCATCTATTTTCTATCTACTGTCTATGCTACTTATTTTCTGTACCTTCTCCCCCCCTTCTACTCCTCCCACTCCCCTGTTGCTAACCCTCCTTGAGATCTTCATTTCTATGTTTCCACTCCTGATCTAGCTGTCCTTTTAGTTTGCTTTTGTTTTAGGTGTGGTTGTTAATAACTGTGAGTTTGTTGTCCTTTCACTGTTCATGTTTCTTTAACTTCTTTTTCTTCGATAAGCCCCTTTAACATTTCATATAATAAGGGCTTGGTGATGATGAACTCCTTGAATTTGATCTTATCTGAGAAGCACTTTATCTGTTCTTCCATTCTAAATGAAACTTTTGCTGGATAGAGCAATCTTGGTTGTAGGTCTTTGGATTTCATGACTTGGAATACCTCTTTCCAGCCCCTTCTTGCCTGTAAGGTCTCTTTTGAGAAATCTGCTGACAGTCTGATGGGGACTCCTTTGTAGGTGACTGTCCCCTTAGCTCTTGCTGCTTCTAGGATTCTCTCCATTTTAATTTTGGCTTATGTAATTATGCTGTGCCTTGGTGTGTTCCTTCTTGGGTCCAACTTCTTTGGGACTCTCTGAGCTTCCTGGATTTCCTGGAAGTCTATTTTCTTTGCCAGAGTGGGGAAGTTCTCCTTTATTATTTGTTCAAATAAGTTTTCCACTGGTGGCTGTGCCTTTCCCCCTTCTGGTACCCCTATAATTTGGATGTTGGAGCGTTTAAAGATGTCCTGGAGGTTCCTAAGACTCTCCTCATTTCTTTGTATTCTTGCTTCTTGACTCTTTTCTGTTTGGCCATTATTTGCTTTCTTCTGGTCCACTCTATTGATTTGAGTCCCAGTTTCCTTTTCATTGCTATTGGTGTCCTGTGCAATTCCATTCATTTCAATTAGTTTTGCCTTCATATATTTGTCTAATTTGTGGCTATAATCAACCAGTTCTGTGAGGATCCTGATCACCAGTGTTTTAAACTGTGCGTCTGAGAGTTTTGCTATTTCTTCATCGCTTAGATTTGTAGGCTCTGGGGCTTTGAGATCTTCTTGAGCCATTTTTGGTCTGTTCACACCCTTTAAGTGTGAGGAGTGGCGCCTTGGACTCCCAGGTCGCTGGGTTGTGATGCTATATGTGGGGGCGTGGTCAGCGGGGAAATGGCGGTGCCCTCTGCTGTTTCGTGCCACTGGGTGAGGAGCAGAGCCTTAGGTGGTTCACCAGGGCCTGGCCACTCAGAGTCGCTGGGTTATGACGCTGTATGTGGAGGTGGGGTCAGAGCAGGGAAATGGCGGCGCCCTCCGTGCCGCTTACTGCGGGGACCCGCCGGGTCGCGGTCCAATGGCCCACTCCCTTGCTTGTCTATCCGAGCACAAATGTGCGACCCCAGTCAACCCGCAGCCCTGCTCCCTTGCTGTTTCCCCCGCGGTCGCTCACTTGGTCGCTTGCTCCATCGCTCGCTAGGTCCAACCCTGCGCCTGGATTCCGCGTGCCTGAGTTAGTCTGACCGAGTTTTCCTGTGCAACCCCGCTCCATCAGCTGCTGGTTTCGCCCCTTACCGGTCAGGCTGAAGAATTTGTTGTTAACAGACTTCCGAAAAGTTCAATTTTCTGTGTTCTGACTATGTTTTCTGTTGCTAATATTTAGTTGTCTCTGAACTTGGTTGTGTGAGAAGGCACGGCTCATCCACCTATGCCTCCATCTTGGCCAAAGTCTGGCTTTCACATTTTATACAAGCTATTACCAAAGTTAGTTACTCTCCAATAGAAACTGAGAAGAATAAGGACCTCCTGAAAGAGTCCTAATTTTTCATAAACATAGCTCAGTCATTTCCCTTTTGAAAGATGCTAACAATGACGCTCAGGCATTACTTTTTCTAGTGGAAACAGCAATATTTAGATGAACAACTGCACTCTTTTAGAGCACATGGAAATAAAGAAGAACATGTGGAGATAGCGTGTCAGACTGTCCTCATTTTAGAAAAAGGAGGAAGTCAGATACCGATGCTGAAGGTAGAACAAGTTCAAGATTCTGGTTGGCCACAAGCAATTCTGGACACTCTGCCTCATGCTCTATGGTGTGGCCTCAGTGGGCCTTCTTTTGGCAAGAAGCCCACCTGCCCAACAATAGGCAATGTCATAGAAGCAACGGAATTCAGCCCCTTAAAATTCCAACAATCCTAAAACTATGTTAAGGTACACTTTTGACTTTTAAAATTATTAGTGATAACTGTCTACATTCATCATAGAGGGCCTGCCACTTTTGGGGAAGGTTTTTATCTCATCTGTCCTTTAATTGTGGAGGTATAAGATAAAGAAACTAGCCCTGCCTGGACACTATCTTTTTAAACTGTTAGGTCAAAAGCTTGCTCTATGGTACGTAGACATGCAGGACACTGCAACATTTCACGAAGGACGTCCTGCATTGTGAGGAGAGTTATGACTTCTCAAAGTTCTGTCTCCAGGGAGCAGGCAGGGGCAGAGCATATTTCTGAGTGTATTGCAGCCTTGGATAAAATGAAGTGTCCATTGCATGAAAGTTGCCACAACAGTCACTTTCCTAGTGTGTGTGATGTATATGGGTGGTGCCACCATCATCTTAAGTGTTAGCTATGGGCTATTCTGCCTTAATAGTAATCTTTTTTTTAATCAGCACAGTGCATACGAGCATATCCTGCCATTAAAAACTAAATTTTGACCTTCATCTCAACTTACAGCATTAATTGTTAGTGCCGTAACTATTAATTGTTAGTGCTAAACTATTGTGTACACTAGAGTTGTATACAACAGTTAAGCTATTAACATTTGTTATTTTATATTATAACATTTGCCATTTTATATTATGCTTGGAATGCTATAAAACCTATCAATAGAGAAAAATCCAAATGAATCATTTGCGAGTTAACTGGAACATTTATTACACAGATGAGGTAAGCCACAGATGACTGAAACACTAAAAAAGGAGATTTTTAAATCCAAAAGCAAAGGATTTATACTTACTTGAGATGGTTGCCTTGTGGAATGTTTGAAAAAGTTCTCTAAGACAGGGTTTAGTATAATCTTTCGAACTTCCTCTTTAATGCCAAATGCTTTTGCTAGAGGTGTGGCAATAAACCTAGAAAAATATGAAAGAATGTAAATTCAAAGTCTGATAATGAATCCACAATGACACCAGAAAACCCAGGTTGTAACTTCAGATTCCAAATGAAGGCTCCATCACTGGTTCATGCTGTGATTGGACTACCTACAGAGAAGCTCAAGGTGAACGAATTCTGAGACCTTTTATATAAGTGATAACTTGGTAAAATATTTGCACAGCTTTAAAACCCATTCTGTGTAAATCCAAATATATTTATACACAAGATCCAGGAATTGGGATAAGATGATCCACTTAAGAGTTTTATTTTTACGATCCCTAGAGATTAAAAATTTTTTAAAGGTTTGATATTAAGTCTTATTTGGTGATATTATCTTATGGAAATCACCACATTCCTTTCTGAAGTTCTAACTTATGAGAAATGTCATACTCTTGGAATGGGGAATATCCATACCACCCGTCATACTCGACGGGTAGTATGGAAAGTATATTTAACTTTATGAGTAACTGGTGCATTGTTTTCCAAAGCAATTGTGCCATTTGGCATTTCAACCAATAATGTGCCAGAGTTCCAGTTACTTCATATCCCTGCCAACACTTGGCATTGAGACTTTTTAATTTCAGCAGGTCTACTCGGTGTATAGTGGTTTTCATTGACTTTTTTACTGTAATTTTTATTATTTCCTAACTTCTACTTGTTTTAAGTTTGGATTGCTCTCCTCTTTTCCCCCAGTTCCCCTAAAATAGGTCAAATTATTGATTTGAGATCTTTTTTTCAATTACAAATATTTACAGCTATAAATTTCCTTCTAAGCACTGCTTTTGTTGCAACTCATCAATTTTGGCATAATGCTTTCTTTTTACTTCATCTCTGTACCTTCTAATCTACCTTGTGATATCTCCTCTGACCCATTAATTATTTAGAAGTATGCTGTTTAATTTCCACATATTTCTAATTTCCCAATGTCCTGTTATTATTTTTCATTTCATTATAGTCAGAAACCATATCATATAATTTCAATCCTTTTTCACATATGGAGGCTTGTTTTATGGCTTTATGTCTAGTCTGGAGAATATTCCTTGTGCTCTGGAGAAGAATGCATATTCTGCTGTTACAGGTGGTATGTCCTACACATGTCTATTATATTGACTTGATTTATAGTATGGATCGAGTCTTCTATTTCCTTGTTAATCTTCTGCATGGAAAGCAGTTGACAACTCTGCCTTAGCCTTCACTTCCAGTGCGCACAAAGCCTTGAGGTCATCCAGAGGTAAGAAATTAAGGTGTTCCCAGGTTTTCCATGAACATGTGGATAGCCCCAGCATGCCCAAAGCTCTACAAATTCAAACAGCCTCCGATTTCCAAGAATATGTCAGAGCTTTTCAAAGCTCCCTACGGACATCCTATTTCCCAGCTAAGCTTTCCCAAAGTTAACCAGTTGTCTCTAATTGTTTTAGACAAGCACCCCCAAGGAAAAGGCTTTTCTCAGTGGGCAGTTCTGAGTCAGGTCCCATAAAGACAGCCTGAGAAGAGGTGAATCATGTCTTCCAGGGAACCGCTAGATAGGCAGAGAGTGACAGTTCTCTGGCAATGATGCTTTGAAGGAGTTCCAACTTGGTTCCACTCCCTGCGATGGCTGCAAGGCTGCTGCTTTTCACTGAAACCACAGCTGCTGCTGGTGCTGCAAGGCTCTCACAGAGGTGCAAAGCGCAGGATGAGAACAGGGCAAGTGGGAATGCCACAAAAGCTTGCTTGGGTTTTTCTTAGAGTCGGCTGTTTTTCTTAAATAACACTCCCTGGGTTATTGCAAGCCTTTGGTTAATTCTGAATGCTGAAAAGTCGATTTTGACACTATTTGTTAGTTTTCTGATTGCTTTTATGGAGAGATTTTTAAGAGGTCCTTCACTCTGGCATTTTTGTTAACCTCCAGTGTGTAGTGGTTTTAATTTGATTTCTGCTAGTTACTTATTATGTTAAACATTTTTCATATATTCCTTGCCATTTACATATCTTCTTTGGTGAACTATCCACTCAAATCTTTTGCCCATTTTTAAAATCATTATTTCTTTGTTTATTAGTGAGTTACATGAGTTCATTATACATTCTCAATTTAGTCCTTCAGCAAACATATGTTTTTCATATATTTTCTCCCAGTCATGGTTTGTCTTTTCATTTTATGTATCCATCTTTTTAAAATAAATATTAAGGCACTCCTTGCATAGTATATAATTTACCCTTTTCAAGTATACTACTCAGTGATTTTTTTAAAGATAATTTACCAAACTGTACAATCATCACCATGAATCACCTGTAGAATATCCTCATCACCTTAGTATGATCCCTCATGCACGTTTACTGTTAGCCCTGTTTTCCCACACCACGGCCCCATGTAATCACTGATCTATGTCTGTCTTTGTAGCTTTGACTTTTCTGGGTACTAAATGGACTCACACAATATATGGTTGCTTAGATCTGGCTTCCTTCACTAGGTCTAATGTTTTTGAGATCCATCCATATATTTGGATGTAATGATATTTAGAGTTAATTCCTTTTTCTTGCTCACTAATAACCCATTGTATGGACATACAAACATTAACAATGTCTTTCAAAGAGCAAACATTTTAGCTATTACCAAAAGAAATAAAAGCACATGCCCGACAAATGCTTATGCTCGAATGTTCATAGCAGCTCTATTTGTAACAGCCAAAAATTGTAAACAATCCAAATTTCCATCAACTAATTAGAAGATAAATTAATTGTGGTATAACAACACAATGAAAGACTGCTCAGCAATGATAAAGAATCACTATACCCATAACAATATGAAAATATCTCAAAGCATTACACTAAGCAAAATGAACTCAGACACAAAAGATTGCAATCTATATGATTCCAGTTATAAGAAATCCAAAAAAGGCAAAATTGCACCAACAGAAGCATGTCAGTGATTGGCAGGAGTTAGTATTTAGGGAGGAGACTAACTGAATGAGGTACTGGGGAGTTTTTCAGCTGATTATGGTAATGGTTACATGACTATATATATTTGTCAAAAGGCATCAAATTTTGGATGAACTTTATTATGTATAAATCATATCTTAATAAAACTGATTTTTGAAGATAATAATAGGCCCCCATTCTTCCCTCAATTCTAACAAAGGCTCTATCTCCTGCCAGGCCAGTCTATTCTTATCCTGACTTAGGAGTTTCTGTGTTTGATTAAATGCTGGAAATTTTAGTTATGAATGATCATTTAGCCCTTCAATTCATTTTTTATAACCATAGGAGTTGAATAAAAATTTCCTAAGATAATCTGATAAAATGTACAAACCAATCCAACTTCCAGATGGACTAAGTGCTCCTGGAAATGGCCCATACATTTCAGAAACATATAAAAACAAACTAATTATGCACCAGATGTACACAGAGTCATGGGGATAGATCATAAAACACAGTGCCATACTTTAAAAAAAGCAGAAGAAACAGAATAAGGTCTTATCATCATACCACATGTCAACTAACAATACATACAACTTATATTTATGCACATGTTTTACTGAGTCATACAAACAAAAAGCCATCAAAAACATTAGAATCCAGCAGTGAGGGGAATGGGACTAGGAAATGGGGATAAAAAGTAATTAGTGAAAAAGTTCATTCAAATCAATCAATCAAAAGAGGTCTTACATAGACCAAAGACAGCATACTATGATCTGAGGAATATGATTAATTATTTCCCTCTTTGCATAAAAGGTCCAAATAAAACAAAAACTAAGATGTTCTTAAAACTAACAAAGTCTCAGAAAACATATCTGACAGGGTTTTGGATAAATAATGGAATTGGTTCATTTATCCAAACTACTAGTTGAAAATTTTTATTGGAGAACACACTTATTATTTTTACTAGTAGAATAACACAAATGCAAAATGGTTCAATATGGTCATGTTCTCAATCATGATCACTCAATGCTATCTCCTCAAATGTTCGAAATGAAGAAGTTAGGAAAAATGAAAAAGCAAAGCAGAATTGAGCCAAGAAGACTTACGCGGTAAGGGAATACAGCCAAATGAAGTATATAACATTCCCCTCTGAAGGGTCACGTGAGAATATGCATGTGGACAAGTATACGCAGTGGATAAACAGACATCCATAGCACACTTGCTGATATGAAGAACAAATCTATATTAGTTTCAACAAGAAAGAGAAATACGGTCTTGTTTTTTACATGTCCAGGCTTCGAGCACAGAAATAGCATTTTCCATAGGAGAGAGGAAATATATAAATACAGTTTTCTACTTCAGCATTATCCTTCCTTTCCAAATAAATCTAAAGAATCGATCACTTCACCTAATGAAGGTGTAAATAAATACAAATAGGTATGTAATTTAAAATCTATCTTGTAAAAGGAGAGAATAAAGCAGCACAATAAATATCTGATAAACTGAACTGCAAACAGAAGAGAAATGACAGGTCTAAGCTCTATAAGAACCTTAGAGACTAAGTCACATGAACTTTCATTTTATTGATATGGAGTAGAAAAAAGTCCAAGAGAAAGAAAGAAGAACGTGGACTTCTGCTCCCACGTAAGTGGTTCGGAGTGAGGTTAATCACCAGGGAAGGGTCTCTCAGGTCTGCTCCCACTGCGGAACTGAGCCTTCCGGTGGCCCCATTCAGACACCCTAGGAGCCCCCTCCTTATCTGGCACCTATGACATCAGTTACCTATAAGCAAAGGCCTCGCAATCCCAGAAGCTCCCCTTCCCCTTTTAAATATTATTTTATTGAAAGAAAGGAAGGCAGGCCTGGGCAGATATTAAACATATGCAGTTTAAGTAATTCTCCTAAATAGAAACAATAGCCCTACTAGCATAAGATTGCTTCCTTGCTCCTAAGGATTCAAAGGCTCTTTGGCCAGAGTTTAATCAGAGGTTTTATGTGAGAAAACAAAATACCTGGAGCAATACAATCTCAAATAACATTTATATATAACGTGTGGATTGACAGACTATTTCAACTAAGGCCCGGAACAATCCTTCTTGAACTCCTGAAGGATGCCACACCTACTCTTCTTTAAAGAACAAAGGGTGGGCTATCCCCTCCTGCCCTCTGTTGCCAAGCAAAAGTAGTAGAGGTGGGGGAATCTATTCCTCCTAGACTAAGTCAAAGAAAAAAGATTACCTTCTCATTTTACCAACTGCACCCCTGCCTCGGGCTCTTCTGGGAACCTAATTCACTATGAGAGAATGTGTTTATTCCACAAGTGTTTAAAGTTGAGTGGCTTAGATCCCCTTTAAATCACACTTCAGACACATAAAAGAATGCATAGAAGAGTTTAGACACACTAGTTAGAAACTGTTATTCTAGACCAAAAAAGAAAATAACAAATAAGCCACAAAGGAGAATTTGTAAGGAAAGGAAATCCTAAAATATGAAGCAAATGTCAGTCACTATCAGGTGATCTACTTGTCCGTCCTTTACCAGTTCTGTCTCTCCACTCTTGCTCTCTACACCTAGATAAAGGGACATTACTTCCTGACCTTAAATGGCTCCTGACTAGTGCTAATGGATAAAAATGAGCAGCCAAATTACAAGTCCTGGTCACAGTTCCTAGGACAAATGAAGGAAGGTTTCTCGTGATAAACATATGATAGGATATGCCAAAATGTGGTGCCAAATTTACATGAATTTTTAAGATAGTTCAGCCCTGACCAGTGTGGCTTCGTGGGCTGGGCACTGGTGGTTTGATTCCGGTCAGGGCATATGCCTGGGCTGCTGGTGGGATCCCTGGTTGGGGGTGTGGGAGAGGAAACAGATCGATGTTTCTCTCTCACATCAATGTTTTTCTCCTCCTCTTTCTCCCTCCCTCCCCCTCTCTCTAAAAAATTAAAATAAAATATTTTAAAAAACAGTTCAGTAAATTTCACTTTGCTATTAACCCTTTAGGCTATGTCTTCTGTATTCACAAGAGATATTAATTTACTCTCTTTGGCCATCAGGAGTATTTCACTGTGAAAGTCCAAGTACCAGTATGAGGAAAATAAAAACCCACCCCCCCGAATCTGGTGTCATAACATGTGGGCGTAAGTCCCAGGGTGCTTGCTACTACTTACGTACTTGTCTGACCTTGGCTGGGTCACTTACCTCTCATTTTGTCTACTAAGATTACATCACTTGTGATTGTATACATATCTTAAACTGTAAGTTCTTATTTAAGTGTAAGGTGTCAGTAGTGTTTCATTTATAAATGGTTTAATCTAATACGAGTGATATGGAAGCCCTGGAAAAAATAAACTTATATTTCAAAATGCATAATTTCTCTTCGGTGCTACCTTTTCCTTACTTCTAGTGCATTAAAATAGAGATGGGACTAGTGGAGCAACGCAGCATCCTGTAGTCACGGGATGGAAAAAGCGAAGGGTGAATTATTGGGAGTTGAAATTAGGAAGACATAGGAAAGATAATACAGACTTCACTTAGTCACTTGAGAAGCATCAAGAGCAGTCCTAGGAAGTAAAAGAAGATTGGATTCCTTCCTAATTGTTGTCGGCAAGGCCAAGACCAAGACAAGTTGGTCCTCAACAGCTGTGCTGCTTTGGCAACCAAGAGCATGTCCTAGTTCACTGTCCTCATCAAAACAGAGAAAATGGAGCTGTCCACCAAAAAGAGTAGGAAATCTGCAATGCAAATAAGTAGAGAAACTAGATGCCAAATTCAAAGATCATCAGACACACAGCAAGGAAAGCAAGCATTTTAGGATGAGAGAGAATAATTTGCTAATTTGATAGTGTAGTGGCAGAATTCTACTTTATTTATTTATGCATTCTTTGACAAATCCAAACATATGAGTGAAGAGTAGAATTAACTGTCAAAAAAGGAAGAACACTTTCAAATGTTCTCAGCTAGGGTTAGCAGTATCCAGGGACGTTCTCTTCCTCCTCCCAAGAGCAACAGCGCATTTTTGGCCCAAGGGAAGGAGTTGTTTGTACGGAAACCTTTTGGAGAGTCCGTGAGACAGAGCTGGTCAAACTAACTCCCGAGATAAGGACCCTGCAAATGGTTATAAACATATGATCTGCATTACAGTTAGTCTTGGACAAAATGATCTTTATCAGATTTTGTCTTAAGTTTTTCCAACTCTTGACATTCAAATATTCTTTCTGCTCCAGAAAAATTATGTGCTAATAACAGTTTTTTGAAACAGAGACAACTACAGAGATTATAGATGAACATTAATCTCCTATTATCATAACACTAGCACAGTTTTAATAAAAAGGTTGAAAGTAATATCTATTTAAATTAAATTAAGAAAAAGAAGTTTACTTTTTCTGAGAAAGCAAATTAATTTTTTTTTCTTTGATTTCTTTATACTTTGGAAGGGAGGGCTGCTATTAAAATTTTAAATAAACCTTTAAAGTAAACTATGTGATAAAGTAATATTAAATTTGGTCTTTAATGAGCCATTTTTGCTATTTTATAGGCATTCTAAAATGACAATGCATCCCCTAGCTATAGCTTCGTCTAACACTGCCTTTCTGGAAATGCATGTCCTTTGCCAGACACCTTGGCATGTAGAAGACAAACTGGGTCCCCACACTGTCAGTGATACTAATAAGCTCTGTGATACTTAACCTCTCAATCTCAATTTTCTTTATTTTATTGTTGTTCAATTACAGCTGTTCCAATTTTCCCCCATTGCTCTCCCCAGCCCTGCCAGCCGCCACACCCCCAGTCAGTCCCCAGCCTGTTGCCCATTACCATCAGCCTTTATAGATGTTCTTTGACTAGACCCTTCCCCCTCTTTCCCCTGTTATCTCTCTCCCCCTCCCAACAAGCACTTGTTTCTAATTTTCATTTGTTCAGCTTCTAGATAAAATTTGGTGTGCATCTGATTTCATGAACTCTCCCAAGAATCTAGGTAGCCTGTTAGCTGCAACTTCTGAGCAACAGATTCTTTAAGAATCTTACCAAAATTCTGTTATTCTAGAGTTGGGACAAAGATGGGGAAAGGGAACAAAAGACACACAAACAATACTTACTTTTCAAAGAAATGTCTGATAATCAGCAAGCCAAAGGCACATGGAATTGTCATATACAAATGAGAGGGTTTTACAAAGACAAGCCCGTCATGATCCTCGAGATCTGACCACTTTATTGTTGTTGGAAGCCAGAATCTTTCCAACCAAAACCAGTCTTTAAACGTCTGAAACATTCTAGAGAGACAGAAAAGGAATACATTAGACCTGTAAAACAAATAAGATTGAGATAACATTGAGCAATTTGACTCAAAATTCCTAAACCAGAGAATTCTGGCAAAAGAAACAGGTAAGAATGGAATACTATTATTTAATGGATTCATGGGTCTTCATTGCATCAACGAGAATTGGCCCTGGCTGGTGTGGCTCAGTAGATTGAGAGCCAGCCTGCAAACCAAAGGGTCACCCATTCAATTCCCAGTCAGGGCACATGCCTGGGTTTTGAGCCAGGTCCTCAGTAGGGGGCAGGTGAGGGGAACCACGCACTGATGTTTCTCTCCCTCTCCTTCTCCCTCCCTCCCCGCTCTCTAAAAATAAATAAATAAAATCTTAAAACAAACAAACAAACAAGAATTGCTCTGCCAATACTCACAGAGCAATTTTGGCCAAGTTGGGCAAACTGATGTTTAACACACCCCTGCTCATATCTTCTGTACAAGATATATTAATTTTACATGTATGCATCTTCCTCTTGTATGATTCTATGGTATGAGAAACAATAATAACCTCTACAACTTCAACATGCCAAAGGTCAATCTCAGCAAAGCTCCAAATAATGTACGAATCTGTAGTAGAATCCCAAGAACTTCTCTTGCAGATAAAAACAAGCACATCATGCTTCATATTACAATGTTTCAATTAGTGTGCACCAACAAATATTTATTAGATTCTACTGTTTGTCAAGCACTGTGGTTGCACTGAGGATCCAAAAGATTAAAAGACAGCATTCCCTCCTTGAGGACCTTAGAGTCTTGTGGGCAAGGCAGTTCTGAACAGACGGCTTTGACTCACTATTTTTTGGTACAGTAGAAAAGGTATATACAGGGAGCTGTGGGAAAATATGGTGGGCACGAAGCCCAGCCAGGAAGTGTCAGGAAAAGGCCATTAGAACAGATGATCCTTGAGATGCCTTAAATAATTAATAGAAATAAACCAGGGAATGGCAGAAAAATGGGGAGGAGGGAATATGAGTCTTAAGGCATAACCCAGCGATATAGAAGAATGCAGAATGAGATGTTCTAACCTCATTGTATAGGCTGTGACCATTTTTATCTTGACATGTTGACCATAAGGATGTTTTGATTCCATCTTTTAAAAATCAGAGGAAGGAGTCAAAATGTCCTTGGATTAAAACACGGTGGTCAACACTCCATCAAAACCTCTTGGTTTGTAAATATCTTGAACCGTGGTATAGTATACTACAGCCTAAGATCTGGGGTATGGGACGCTGGGTTACACGGAGGTGCCCAAGTCTCCATTTATCATCCCAGCATAACTGTTAACAGCAGCCCTTCCTTTCAGAAGTCTTCCACTGTGGGCAATAAGCCACACAGTCTCTCCCATCAAAAGGCTGGTGGGGCAGGTAAGGCTTGGTCATAGAGAGTCTGTATTCTGTGCTCAGGAGCTTGGGCTTTAGCTACCAGAACCCAATGCTGAGCACCATGCAAAGGAGTAAAATGGTCAGATATTTTAGTAAAGGTCACACTGGCAGCCAGGTCCTCTGTGAGCCCACATGGTGTTTTTGTACACCAAGGAGAAGATGGTACCCTCGGTGGGCAATTTCTTTCTAGCAGAATGAAGGCTGGGTTCCCATTCCAGACAGCCCCCAGCCAGGCACCGGTAGCTCTGCTGGCTGAGGTGTGGAACATGGGTCAGGAGATGGAAGGACTGGAGGGCGATCGGGAGCTTCAAGCATGATGTACAGTAGCAAACGGGAAGGCTTGCACTAGGGCAGAGGCATCAGGGAACTGGGGAAGAATGTCATTCATGAGATCACACGTGAGACCCAAGCTGGGGAGGAAGAAAGGGAGGCCAGGAGAGAAGTGACATGGAGGGGAAAATAGGAAACTCAAGGGATGGGAGACAAAGCACAGTGGAGTGGCAGTGGGACGGAGGACCCGTGAAGATGGGAAGACTGTCAGGGGGAGTCTCAGAGCAGAGCACTGCCATTTGATTTGGACTTCATATGAGGGAGAGTTCCAGAGTGTGGACCCCCAAGTCCTTCAGAAAAATCCACACAAAAACCCATAAGCGAATCATGGTGAGGTGACTGTCTACTTCATGTCGTCTCTCATTTCGCTGTTCAGAGATGGCTCATGCTTGGTAGCACTGTCTCAGTCATAGCCACACCCACAAGGTGTGGAAGGGCATGGATATCTTTTTTGCCCATGTATTAATCTTTTTACTATCATTCTACCATGGGGGAGGGTAAATCCCATTAATACAGTTGCAAAGTTGTGCAAATATGGTGCAGTACCAATAAGCATCAAGAAAGATTTATTGAGATGAGCCCTGGCTGGTGTGGCTCAGTGGATTGAGTGCCAGCCTGCAAACCAAAGGGTTGCCAGTTTGATTCCCAGTCGGGGCACAAGCCTGGGTTGCAGGCCAGGTCCCTGAAACCACACATTGATGTTTGTCTCCCACTCTTTCTCCCTCTCCCCATCCCCTCTCTAAAATAAATAAATAAATAAATAATTTTTTAAGTTTAAAAAGAAAAAGAGAGAAAGATTTATCTAACACATCCTGTATCACCGTGGAGCTGCTGAAAGGAAGGGATGATCCCAGACTCAGGGAGCTCACAACTGAGTCAGCACTGACAGGGATCTGGACTTGGGAGGAGGCGGTGAGGCTGATGAAACAGGCATTGGGAAGGGGGAATGAACACACCTTGGTAAACGAACTGAGGATTCAAGCTTGGTTGCCTGGGCCACCTGACATAAGTGACCAAAAGAGGAAATTTGCTTTGAAAGGTTCAGCCAGATAAGACTAATAACAACAAGAGGCACAAGTCAAACTTCACCTAAAATCCAAACTTCCTACAGATCTGAGAAACCAACCCAGGCCCTGGGAGTGTCTCTATACCAGGCCTTGTCCCTCGTACATCAGAACAAGGTACTGCTGCAAGGGCAAAGATATGTTTTCCTACAAGTTTGCCTCAGCAGGTTCATTACTTTACTGCCTCCAAATTTAACAGAATAGAGACTCGGAAAACAAATAACAATGGCAATGGGTTAGATTTTCTTTTGATATTGTTATAATAATTGTTATACAAAATAGTTTGATAACTTCTAACATATTACTTCAGGAAGTGTAGATTACTCTGTCCAGTGTGAAATATAAATATTTCTAATTGATATTTATAATAATATTTATAACTTAGTGAATAATAAATAGCTAAAGAATTCTAATTAAAGACTTGAATAAATAGCTTATGATGATTATATAGGAGTTGGCTGCTCTAAATAATGCCCTGTGCACCATATGCAAGCAATGAATCAAGATGTGTTGAGAGCCATAGTGACTTTAATACCCAATAGCCAAAAACATTTAAAGGGAAATAGAGATAGAAAGAATTTAGAAGTTGATGGTGGGCCCCTGGAAGACGCAGTTCAAACTGAGAAAAAAAGCAAATCTACATTATTCATTCTTTCTTCACATGCTGCCACCAAACATCAATTATTGCTGCTTCAAAAGAGTTAACGACCTCTCCTTCGCAGCATACCCCAAAATCAATGCAAAATGAAACACAGACCTAAAAATAAGGGCTAAAATTATGAAACTCTTAGAAGACTATAAAGGAGTAGATCTTCATGACCTTGGGTTAGGCAAAGCCTTCTTACATAGGACCCCAAAAGGGAAATGGCAGAATATAAAACAGATAAGCTAGACTTTATCACAATGAAAACCTCTTGCGCTATGAGCCTCCCCCGTCCTGAGGCCATAGGGCTGTGCCAGAACCTCTGGCATCCTTTAGAGTTACCTTGCCCAGACCCCAGCACACTGCACATGCCATTTGGAGGTAGCCCAGCACCCAGCCTCACAGTAGCAGGAAAATCACTGCTGTTGAGTGGAGTTGGTGCAATGCCTTCCCCACTGTGCAAGCCAAGGTGGACAGTTCTCCTTCTCCTGGCGAATGGCCTGGGATGGCCTAGGCTTGGCCAACTGGATGCTTTTCTCAGGACTCTGAGCCTGGAGCAGACAACAATATCCAGCAGCAGCAGATGGCACACAGCCTGGGCTGCAGCTGCTGTTAAAAAGACAGTTGTCTCTCAGCCTCTTGGCCTTCCTGATCTCCTTGGTTTCTACTGTCACCCAAGTCTGGTCCACCACCCTCCTTCAACGCTGTGAGTCACTTCCAATGAAGTCCTTTGTTTATGACAGTAAGAAAGATCTGGATTCGGTTGCCTACAACCAAAAGCACTGACTGATACACCTAGTGTGTTCCCCACCCTTCATGAAATGAAGCCAATAGCTCCAATTCAGTCCTCTGAACCTTCAATTCAGCAGAGGTGCCTAGATTAGGACTTTCTTCTACAGGATAAATGGAGAAGCAGGAACCCCTAGAATAACTGAGAAGAGAATGGCAGCCTATACATCTGTCAATTTCTCCCTATATTTAGCCTCTGAGCTCATCTTACTGACAATGGACACTCATTTGTCCCTTTTCCTTTTTTTCTCCCCCGTTTTTGTTCCTGCTCTGCCTAAATTTCAAATCTGACAGTGGCCCTCATAGTCACTGCTAACTTAAGGCTTTTTGTTGCTGTTGCTCAGAGTAAAAGAGGCTGCTGTCCCCCCTCAAAAGATGCTGGGTGGGGTGCAAAACAAAGGCCCGACACAGTGAGTGGATGATCCCTTCATGCTGTGTTAGCTATCTGAGCGCTGCAATACTTCAACGATACCCAGATGGAAAGAGAATTAGAAAGGACTAAGATGGAGAGACACCTGCATTTTTAAAACCTCACAAATGACTGCTCTGAAAACAACTCCTGAGCACTTGCAACAGTGAATCTGTCGTTTAGGGACCCTGCCTGTGACTCAGTCACCTTTTGGACAGTGTAACTCCCACATTAAACTTGCAGCCCATCTCTCATCTTTATTGATTTGGCTGAACTCTAGGCCTTTCTGGCAAGTGAAGAACTGTCAGCTCAGTTAACAGCTCTTCAGTCTCTCTGCTTGGT